CACATTTAAATGGATTAAAAATTTGCAAATCTAGATACATGTTTGAGGAATATGAGAAGCTACTGATTAGCTTATCCTGCTATTTTAAAAGGTAAATGTTTTTGCATTCCTATTTCCTATTTACCTGACGAAATAAGTTTCAAATGCAAATTAAATAGTTTTATATTAAACTAAAAACCTTGTACTCTAGCTTAAAACAAATTCCAGGTAAAGTTCTATTATAAAATTGTAAATTTCTTCAAATTAGCATATTCTATGAACAAAATTTTTAATGTGATACTTCAAAAACATTTTACACAAAAATTTCTAGCCCCACTTAAAACTTTTAAAAGCTAATAAAGAATGACTTTAAATTATTCAATGATATCAATTTTTCCTCGCTTTTTTCCTCATATCCTTAGCAAGTATTTAATCTTAATACTTGCTAATACTTAGCAAGTATTTAATCTATGAGTCTCCCACTCTCCTGTGAGCTAGTAGCAGCCATGTGGGCCAGAAGGAGAACCAAGAAGCCAATCCATCCTCCGTTAAGCCAGTGACAGCCATGTGGGTCAGGAGAACCAAGATATCAACCACTTCCTCATGAGCCAGTTAGAAGGAGAACCAAGAAGCCAACTCACCCTCTTGTGAGCCAGCGGCAGCCATGTGGGCTGGGAGGAGAACAAGAAGCCAACCAATCCTCCCAGCAGCCAACTGGCGGGCAGGCTGGGTGACAAGAAGAGTCCCTCTGCCCAACCAACTGATTGATTCACAGGAATATTGGCTGAGATGATAGCAACTGAGGTTTAAGGAAAAGTTAATACTTGAACTGTTTGATTGACTTTGTCAGCCTAAAGCCAGTAGTCTGAGCATCTATTTAGAGGATAACAATATGCAATATAGCAAGTATAGGGAATTTCCTTCTCCCTTGTTTTTGAAATCCAACATTGTTCTCACTGAAAAAAAAATTAAATCTTCAAAGCCATCCTTGTTTACTCTCTTAAAAACCTATTTTAATATTAGTTGTATGAAGGATACATTTTATATCAGTACGTGAACAAAAGAACCTTTAGCATGTAGCAAGCACTTTTGCAAATTTTTCCATTTAATAATCTGATTTTCTGCTGTTAATGATTCTTATGACTTTATAAAATGATTATAGTTCTTATCTTCTTAAACACAATAAAGAGAAAATATTAGAATGATTACAAAATGCTTGTGGTAGTACAATTTTACTTTGAACCTTTTTATGTACAACTCCATAGAGATTTTAAAGGATCGCTTTGGCACCCTATAATCATCTATTTACTAAATTTCTGAGGTTGATGTTATAAATTGAATTAAAATGTTGTTATGCAGATGATGGTTAGAGACAATGTACTTCTGATGCTATCTAATCATTTTTATTCCCAGTACTATTTGTCTAAGATCCAATGTCTTATGAATTGAAATAAGTTGTTCTTCAATGTTTCAAAACCTGATTTATTAGTTGTTCACATTCCATCTGCCTGAGAAACTGCAATGTGCCTTCACTTCCAGTGGCTGCCAAAAGATTGGGGTCCAATTTTTCTTTCATTTTATCGTTTGATCAGCTTGTCAGACACATGTTAAGTTCGCCTTTTAACTACATAAAACACTTAAAATTCATGCATTTTTTAAAAGAGCAAGCCAGTATGTAAGGAACTTGATTAATGCATTTGTCATCTTCCATATTTACCAGTGTATCAAAAGAACTGGTCTTAAAAAATGTCCTTGCTAGTAGTCTAAACTACACGAAAGCCAGGATGTAACAGTGATAACTGTCCAAAGACAGAAAATAAATTACTTTATCAATACTAAGAATGCATCTTATGCTCTATAGCTACAAAATATACTAGGGTATACAAGCAACAACAAGTGATAATAACTTAAGGAATAATCTGAGTGTCATAGAAGTTTTACGGAAAAGAGAAAGAAAATGGTATAGAGGAAGCAAATGCAAGGAAGACACTGATCACCTTTCTGTATGGGAAGTGAGCTCTGATGAATGAAAGCAATTCAAGTTCTAATTGCTCTAGGAAATAAGGTAAAGAACCATTCAATGAAATGTTCAGAATATGTGAAATCTGCAAAGATAACCAGGCAAATTCAGACATTTGACAGTGAAAGGAAATGAAGATGTCCATAGCAGCATTGAGCATGTGGGATTTGAAAACGCTACATCACTAGTATAGTTTGGATGTTTATTTGATAAGTTGCAGGACAATGGTGAAATTAAACCCAGGGCCACTGATGTATAAGATAAGAACTTTACCAGTACATCTCCAGCCCTAAAGTTTGGGCTGTCCTGCAAAGGCCAGCATGTTAGTGACTTGGTCACTAGGTTGCCACTATTGGAAGGTCGTGAAACCTTTAGAAGATGGTGCTGAGAAAGAGATCCTTAGGCCACTGGGGGTATGTCCTTAAAAGAAACTGTAGAAACAAATGGCTTCTTCTTTTCCACATTTTCTTCCTGGCCATGTGGTAAGCAGTTTACTCCACCACACACTCCTATTGTTTCATCTCACACTTCCAATAAAATCTTAACAGCAATAGGTAATGTGCAATAATAAACAAGAGCCTCTAAAGCAATAAGTAAAAATAAACCTTTTATCTTTGCAAATTATTTATTTCAGGTATCTTTGTTATGGGGACAGAAAGATGACTAACAAGAGGGGGAGGTCTGGGCCTTTGTAGTAACTGATATGAGTTAGATGGTGAGAATGAGATGGACAGCCTGTACAGGCAGTAGTGAGATTCAGTAGTGAGTTCAGTAGTGAGATTAAAGAATATGGGAATTGCCACTCCCCAAAAATAATACCTAACTGGAAAATAAGCTGCAACATTATTTTTCAGAATGCTCACATAATATAAGCTCGATCCCAAAAATAAGTCCCAGCTAAAATCATCAGACACACAGATTAATTTATAAAAATATTAATATTTAATTAAGTAAAAGTAAACAATATTGTTGACAATATTTTAAATAAATGATAACATAAATTATAATTAAGTATTTATAAATACTCCAACAGGGACCTTTTGAATGAGAGCTAAACTTGAGATTTACTGTCAAAAGACCAATTGGACTACAGACATGATGTATGAATAACATGCATAATTGAGAAAGAATGGATATGGATGTGTCTAACATGAGTCTTCAAAATCCAATAGATCGTGTATTGTAACAGATACACAATACATTCATGTGGAATAAAGTGATAAGGAATTGTAGGATCTTTGTTTGCTTTTTTATCTCAAATTTTAAAATATCTGAAAATAGTCGGTCCTCAGAAAGCCTGCTAAACAACTGACAAATTATCCTATACAGTTCACACATGTGCACATACCTATTATTTTACTGTTTTCTGTTTTTCACACAGCAAATCTAAAGATTTATAAAATGAAACAGAAGCTAAGAACAGAAGTCCTTTATTTTATCCTGAAATCAACTCTAAAAATTAATGTAAATATGCAACCAGAGCAAAACAAGAAGTACCAACTCAATTTTTAAGTTCATAACACTCTCATATTAAGATAATTTTAATTGGGGCTGGGGATTTAGCTCAGCGGCATAAGCGCCTGCCTTGCAAGCAGGCAGTCGTGAGTTTGATTCCTGGTACCGATAAAAAACAAAAAAGACCAAAAAAAAAGATAATTTTAAGTATTTAGATATTTGCATGACCTTGCATTTGATATAATTCCTCACCAGGGGTAAATTTAAATCATTCCAGATAGGTGTTACAAAATAATCTCATATAGGACAAAGGGCACAAAAATGGTACCCCACCTTCAAGGTCTTTATATCCTACAGAGGAAGAAAATAAAAATGTCCTAAAATTTCCAATGACAAAACACAAGCAAATACTTAAAATATGCAGAATTTTAGTTTAGTGACATCTAAAAAATGCATTCAATATACTTTTATTTTCTGTAATCTCAGTTTCTGTGGAAAAGTAACCATCAATTCAAGTAGTAGTGGATATCTAATTGTTCTGTTTTAGACAAACAGAACAATACATTTTAAAACTAGAAACTATTTCCCTTTCTCAACTCTAACACATACATACTTAATTCTTTTACCCAAATAATAGCTCTGATTTTCCATTTCCCACTCCAAAAAAAGAGATCATTCGCAACAACAGGGCTATGGGCTGTCCCAAGTGTGCTGGTGCATGAGCTGCTCTGCTCACGCCAAGACACAGAACACACCTGTCAAGAAGAAAGGCCCAGCTGAAGCTGAAATATCTGATTCCCTAGATTTCAGCCTGCCATATCAAATTCCTCAACCTGTTCATCCATAATCTCTTTTAGATGGGTTTCTCTCCCTTCTCATCATTGCAGCTTTGTTTAGTCTGAAATTCAATCAAAGATGAATTAGGCTTTAGGAAACATTCCCATTCTAGCTCCGAAGTCACATCAGAAACCCTAGACCCCGTGTTAATTTTGTTACAGCTTTTAGTTCTCGCATTTCAAAGCAAAATCACATCCCCCTGGAGAGTGCCACTGATATTGGCAAGAAAGCGCAAGGGGCTGCCACACAACTCAATCACCAATAACAACTGAGGAAACTCAAGCCTCAGCAGACATTAGTAATCATGGGAAAACAGCCAGAACTTTAATCACAATTCTTTCAAAAAGAGCCAGGGATTTTGAAATGCTGTTATTCTAGGATATGACCCTAATGCAGTGTTTAATCAAAGCCAATGCCAGTACATGAACAACCTGAAGACTTTAATAAAAAGCAATTTCATAAAGAGTCAGTGTGTCAGCATCATGTTGTAACAATTTAGCAAAGCTCCAAAACCTACACATACACGTACATTCTATAGACACAAATTTGTTTGTGATTACATGTACTACCTCTCTATTTGGGATGATGCATTTATATAGAAATACACATGCATGCACACTGCCATGCTTACAGATGTATATATTGCTATTTAGGAAAGAGTCACATAATCAAGGTAATATTATTAACGGAAGTACAAGAAAATGGAAACCTGTTAACTGGTGACCAGCTGGGTGGGCAGGTGCAGGATCTCGATGGGATTGCCCGAAGGACCCAAAGATGGTTTGCACGCTTTCTTCAAAACAGAAATTCGGAACAGAGCTTTGTCACTGCCAGGCCTCTGCTGGCAACAGACAAAAGGTCCAGATGTTTAGGAAGCCATGCAGCTTGACTTCACTCCACCACCAGCTCTATTTTTAAGCAATGTCCTGGCAAAAAGGCAAAGGTCATGATCACACCTTAAGATACAGCAGCTGCCACAACTGCTTCCATAGCTGCAGAGAACACAGGTAGAGCTATTCTCTATCATTATGGATAAAGAAAAATAGAAAACTGCTAATTCTTCTTATCTACTCTTTACCCACTTGCCCAACTTCTCCCTTCTCACTACTAAGAAAGAATTAGAAATGGCAATTTCTAATGTAAAGGAATAGGGAGAGAACAAGGAAGAGTGTATTAAAATGTTTAATTCATTTTGATAGGTTTCTACTAGCAAATGTGAATAGAATAGCAGAAAATATATACAACAATTCAGAGTGATTCACAACATAGAAGAATAAAAGAAAATGAGGTAATGCTAGATTTTTAAATATGTGTGAGTGTGTGATATTTCTTCAGACTACTTTATCCCAGTAGATATATTTATTAGATCTTTCTAAGAAAAGGGGAAATGTCTTTCATATAGAAATAACAAGGCTATCAGTAAGTACTCCAAGTCAACAAATAATATCAACCAAATAATATCAACACCCAGAGTTTCAATGAGTTAAAATACAGTCTCAGATTTTTACCTCTGAAATAACAGTCTCACTCACAAAGAGGTTAATAAAAAATATGCTAAATAAACTACTGATTTTTTAAAACTTTAGTACATTAACAAAAGAGAGGCCAGGCAATAGATTTGGTGTTTCTTTTATTCCTATGTGCTCTCACAAGGCAGTCGTTAGAGATTATTCTCAGGACAGGTAATTCACACCAAATCTGCTTTCACGTGTATAATGATATTTAATTATGTACTTTCTTGGCACAGTTTATACAAAATTGGTTTCTTTATAGAAGTTAAGAAAAAGGCTTTTTCATAACTATCTATTCCTATATGGCCAGAGAAAGTCTTGAAATGTTAAGAAATGAAGCCAGCAGAGTTTAAAACTGTTTCAGAAACAAAATTTTGTCCGACAAGCTGGGGGAAGGGAGTGCGAGAAGATGGCAAATGTGTGAAGATTCTTGTTTTCTCCTTAACTAGACTTGGTTTTTCTTTTTTTCTTTTTCTTTTTTTTTTTTTTTTTGCTTTTACTTCTTAAATTATACATCCTTAGAACATACATACATAAATGAATAAATGAACATGGATATTGATTGTTTCTAAGACAGATAGGCCAAATCTTTTCTTTGAATTTTGTTCAAATACCTCTTGTCATTTATTTCATTTATTTAGGTGTCTATAATGGGATAGGGAAATGTGGTTTGATTCTCATCCATACATAGAACATACATAAATGTTGAGACATTATCTTTTTTAAAAAAAATATCTGCCTTATTGGAAAACTTGAAACAATGATTCTCCCCATTAATGAAAAGAATAGAGGTTACTCTGAATATAGGTGATCTGGGGAGTGGGAAAGTACACCACCCTCATTTCACTGAACAAGAAATTAAGCCTGAAGAGAAAATATCTTACAATAATATTGCTACTAAAGGTCCAAACTGCATTTGCAGTCATATTCTTTGAAGATTCACACTACTGTGAGGCAAACTAGTGCTACTGAAGCAATCCATGAGGTTAAAATACCGCAAGGTGAGACACCTTCCCTAAGACCTCTATAGGTGATTAGTGACTTGAAGCAAAAATGCGAGGTAATCCAAAGAACATTTGAAAATTTCCAAAATCAAAGATATGAGTAATTTCTAGTATTTATTCTATAATTTTCTTACAGTATGATATTTAGGGGTAATAATGTTAATTTGGCATGAACTTGCATCTTGTACTATGAGAATGAAACCACATTTCCCTATCCCATTACAGACACCTAAATAAATGAAATAATAAATGACAAGAGGTATTTGAACATAATTCAAATTCAAAGAAAAGATTTGGCCTATCTGTCTTAGAAACAGTCAATATCCAAAAACAACACAGTAGATGTGGTACTTAATGCTAACAAGACTAACTGGGTGTTTGTCATCAAAAACAAAATGACACACCATATTCAATAAAGTACACTACATGCACATTACACAGTAAGGTGATCCTCTCTTAAACAGCAATTAGTCCTCACATCTTACATGAAGCACAGTTGGGGCTAACAAATGTGACCAATGGTTCATGACAATGTGGAAGAGGCAGAGAAAGACAAACATAAAGAGAAGAGAATTTGACAGCATCCAGAAAAAAACATATAACAAAAAAAGATAAAGTCCATCTGTACTGTTTTTGAAAATTTCTACTTCCTTCAAAAAAAAAATCAATGGATGTGAAGAAGCTTCTTCATTTACAAAGTCGAATCTTGGACTGAGAAATGAAGCTTCACATTAATGCCAACCAACAACATAAAGTGAACCACACATAATTGTGAATTTTCCTGTAGCCACATAAAAAATACAAAATAAGAGATAAAATTGATTTTATTAATATTTTATATAATCTAAAATATGTAAAATGTTATCAATTAAATATATAGTCATGACCAAAATTAACATACTTTGTTATTTTAAATTTTGAATACAGTTTACATTTTATAGTTAAAGCAAAATTGAACTCACACATTGTGTACTAAATAATTGATCTGTACTTGGGCTTCATAAAATTTATACTTACAAAAGTAGAATCACATATCTAAGTTGTTCCAGAACTAAAAGTTTCCAATAATTTAATCAGTATGCTCCTATCTTAAATAAAATTAATGATTCTCTTCCTCATTTCAAGAACTTAATAGCTTCATGTGACTTATAGCTACCACAGCAAGCAGAAGAGTTACACATATAAGGTTCTGTAGTCTCTAGAACATTTAACATCATTCTGGTGTAAATGATAGAGCTTTCAAAAGGAAAAATGTAGGTAAATGAAGTTCATCTACTAACAACTGATTATCTATTCACTAATTATGCAGATGATTAGACTAAAAGCCTGTGGCAGAAAACAGTGGTGGTTAATAATGACTCTCCTCTGATTTTTAGTTGAGCATCATATATTTAGCAAAATCATTCTGGCCCTTGCAGTCACTGATCTAAATTTTGGCCAGCAGAACAAACATGAAAATGTTGTATGGTTGCTTCTTGTAACCTTCATGAAAAGATAACTAGACTAAGTTTCTTTGGACCGCTTTAAATTTAGTCCCTGTCACCCTGTCATGGTTCAGCCACAAAATGAGCTAAACTCATGTCAGAACCACATCTTGAAAGGAGCCTGACTCATCAAGAATATTGTTGAACAAGGTCATTAACCAGGCCTGAACTCTATTCTTATTTACAAATAAGGGAAAAAGCATGTATACTGTAGAGGTCACTGTTATGTTAGGTCTTGCCGCAGAATCTAGTTCAGACCAATAAAGTGGATCCTCTAGAAACACTCTTACTGCAACATTCAATATTGATACGAATTACCTGGCTGGCTGAGGGAGATACTCTGTGTATGTTGAAGAACACATAGAGAACTGAAAATTTGATTGCTTATCCAAATTCTTACCATCCACAATTTCTTTTTCTTGAAGAATCTCGATTTTGTTGTTCTGGACAAGAGCATTCCTTATAAGACAGACCCAATGCCCTTGCAAGGGATGAGTTTAAAAACATTTATATTTCAGGCTCATGAGACATGAGGACCTTCTGGTAAAGGTTTGTTTGCCTGAATTGTGAAGAAAACTCAAAAGACAAGGGGTCTGTTTGTGTTTGAATGACCCACTAAAGCCTCATGTAGCCATGGAAGTGGCTGAATCTAGCTTTTTCTTTAGCTAGTGACTAGTTCGTTGTCTAGCAATGGAATTGGCAGTGAGAATACTGTACTCACTAAGGGGTGAGTAGCTAGCATACAATTCAGGGAAGGAAGGAGACGTGTTTTCCCCTTTTTGCTCTTGTTGCTTGAGGCTGCCATAAACAGCTGCCCTTTAGCCATGGCATCATGTCTTGGAGTACGTACTGAAACTTCCAAAAACTGTACAGTAAGCAAACCTTTCCTTCCTTCATTTTGGGCATCAGGTATTTTTGTCTCAACAATGAGAGAAAAGTAACCAAGACAGTGTCTTTGCTGCTTTTAGAGATCTCGCGTGGATATTACAGCTATGAAAGCTGTGATGAGTTATATACACTGCACTCATGTAGCAACCAAACTGAAAATAATGTTCACACTTGGAAAAGGAAAGAGCTATGACAGCAGTGAAGAAACAAAGCAGGAGCTGCAAAGATCATCCTACTTTGGGGAATTCTTGCTGCTCTTATTGTTGTAGACAATTTACTGGGGGGAGGGGTGAATTCTTTTACAGAAGTGTCATACTGCTTAACCACACTCCCAAATAAAATTAATAATTATAAACAAAACAAAAACCCAGCAGAAGTATGGAAACAGGGATATATATCATAAAGAGTAAGACTTGAAAACAGGAAAATCTGACTGAAGTGGGCAATGAGACAGGAAATCACTATGTAGTCTAGAGTGCCTCTGAACTTGCTATGCAACTCTTGCTGGCATTGAACTTGTGATGTGATATTCCAGCCTCAGTCTCGCATGTACCACCAAGACCAGGTTGTAAAATTCAATTATAAGAAGTTTTACTGTGAATTCATTTCGCAAATGTAAGCAATTTGATGTTTTCCTATTTTAAAAAACAGCCTAATGTTGTCTTTTCCAAAATGTGGTAGCACATTAGGAAATCTAAGAAAACAGCCAGAACAATCCCAGTTTTCTCAAAAATCCATAGTAGATTTTTTTTTAGAAATGTAAAATAAAATAAATAGCATTGTCTAGTGCAGTTAAAAACAATGAAATCCAGCTTAGGTCAAAGATAGAAATACTCAACAAATGTAGCATGAAGGCTGTGGGATAAGAGAAATAAATGACACACATAGAAGGCACACACAGAAAATTATAGAGACAGAAATCAGGGTAAGAATAATTCTATCTATAAGGTTCCAAGGATTAAGTGAGGCATATATTTACAATGCTTAGCACAATGCCTAGTAATAGGAAGCACATGTATATGAACATCTGAGTATGATCAAAATATACATGAACATTCCAAATTTTTAAATGTATTACAGTAAAGGACACAAGGTCATTAATCCCCCTCACAAATAACTCCTTCACATTCTTGCCTCTTTCAGAAGAAATTCTGGAAGTCCTCATTCATGAATGTCTTTAGTTGTACCATCAGGGACACCTCTATGTCCTGAACTGATTCAAAATGTCTACCTTTCATGGTAATTTTGATGATGAGGAAAAGCCAGAAGTTGTATAGTACCAGATCCAATGAATAAGATGGATAAGGACATGACAGTGAATAAGATGGATAAGGACAACATTACAAGGGGCAGAGATCAGGAGAGGGTAGAAAAGACTTTCTAGAAGTGCAATAATTACAGAATAATTATATTTCATCTATCAAGATCCAATATGCTTATTTACCATAAAGATCTGACAAATGGACTTCCTTAGTTATTACTTTCATTTCAGTTTTCCAAAGACAAATACATTACTATAGTATAATTATATACACATTAGTGATTCAAGGAACAAGATGGCCTGTAGCTTATAGATTTTTAGCTAGATTATCTCAAACTCTGAAGGTTATGCCTGCTGGGAAAGGATTACCAGAGTTAATTTCAGATAATAAACTCGAGATACTGAGAACTAATGAAGAAAAGTCAGAGTCCACAACAAGAGCAATAGAGTAGTATCTCCAGGCTTGCCTTGACAAATCTCTTTTTTTCTACATGTTATTCATTCTCTTGTTTCACTTATAAAAACATACTTGCTGCACTACAGCTGTGAACAGTACAGTCGGTATTCTTCACGGCATTTTCTCTCCTGTATTTCACTACTTATGAAGATCAAGAAGAATTACTGAGACGTATACACATGCCAGCTAAGGGAAATGGTTTATAATTAACCTGCAAAGAACTCAAGGTCAGATCTTGCCAGAAATTTCTGGCCCAAGAATAATCTCAGGAGAATCCTGGAGTTCTAAATGCAAAAAATAGAGAGCTACTTAGCCTCAAGAGACTCAAAGCACATTTCAGATCACAACACACACCAGTGTTCCAAGTCTACATGTACTGGCCTTAGCACAAGGCTAAGAAAACAATATGAACAAATCCTCAAAGCTGTATTTGTTTAATTACTCAAATCCAACTATATGCTTTCATAATACAGTAAAGTATCCATCATGTCTAACTCAATTATGTGCAGACTTAAAAGAAATCACTTCTACCAAGTGATTGTTAAACAATATCCTTAACAAACTCATACCTGTGACTTGATTCCAGAAGACTATTTTCATGCAAATAACACAGGGTTAAAAAGTCTGTTGTTAGGAAATATGAATACTACAGTATATGTGTATGCACTTATTTACATGAAAGTATATCAAAATAGCAGGAAAAGACACACAAAAAATAAGTCCTAGGTCTGTATGTCTCTTTTATTAGAATATTTCATTTTATACAGACAAATAATTTAATGGCAAATGGTAATCTGTTCATATTTTACACGTAGCAAGTAAATTATTCCCAAATAGAAAACACTAAATAATGAAATTATAAATAAAACAAATAATATTTTGTTTCTTTTTAGGATGCCATTTAATATTTTTAAATTGTGAGAGAGAATAAGACCAAGGAAGAAGGAAGAAGCAAAAGAAATCATTCATTCTTTGTACATGGTATTTAATTTTATTTTTGGAATGAATTGAAGATCTGGGTCTCATGAATATAAATGCTGCCACACAGTCTAGTTCCTAATGATTGCTCTATTACCCTAAAGATGGATTTATTTGAACAATTAAATGGCTTGTCCAAAACAGAAGGCATTCCAGCCTTTCAGTAGATAAAATACACAATTTCCCTTAGGAGATGAATACAGGGCAAAAATACAAAGGAGTATGTCTAACCATGGTAAAAATGTCAAAAACAGAAAATGTCAAATCCTCAAGGGGAAATCCTCAACTCAAACTCTGGTTAGCACCTCTACACAGGTCCGTATGTGTGATGAAATTAGTGTACAGTCTCTCACGAAGGGAAATAGAAAAAGAAAGATCAAAAAAAAAAAAAAAAAACCTGCTAGAACTAGTCAAACTATAGTATGGGGTGGATTTTTTTCTCAAAGTTCAAAACAAAAGCAGTAGCAGTAACACATCATTGTTGGCAGCAAATTTAACTCTTCTAAGGATAACTGTTTCCACAAAAAACAAAACTGAACTACAAAATTAGAGCTTCCCATCCTAAGTTTCTTTCTAATCATTTCAATTTCCTGCTTAGTATACTCAACCATTTGGTTGGTAAACTCAACTATTAATCATATATTCAACCCATCTGTTTTTTTGATTGGTTCAAACAATGACTTGAACATTTTACTGGATAGGTTTGGTTCAGTCTCACATGTAAATGCCTTGTAAATAAAGAAAATCACGTGAGTAAAACTAGCTGTTGACTCCATCTTCCAATACCAGCCTAAGCACTTGTACTTCACTTGGCTCTGCAGTCAGACAGGGTCCTCCCTCAGATCAGTTTTCCTTATGAAATTCAAAGACACTACTTCCTCATTCAAAACCTCCAAGAGAAATGAATTGAGTGGATACTGGCAAGTAGTCTTTATTCTCCAGGTTTTCCTTTTGAAAATCATGTGTCCAGACTAATGAATATTAGATGAAACAAATATTAAATATTTAACATATAGAATCCCAACAATCTAACAGATATAAATGATTTCTATTTGTGTATATTGATATTGTGTCAATTCCTTGTGCATAAGATATCTTTTTCACTGCAATAAAAATGGCATGAAGAATACAAACAACTAATACAAATGGTTCTTAGCTTAAGGAGCCTAAAACAGAGTTAAAATCCATCAAATTGCATTCATAACACAGTAACATGTCTAAGACTGAGTACCAAGAGTATGTCAAGTGCTTCAGATTTCTGAAAAGAAAACATCTCAGAGAGGCTTTTCCTTTTCAATCAATCTAAAAGTTTCTATACTGACATTTTATAGCATCTTTCCTCCATGATTTTTTTTTATCATTTACTATTAAAATCTTTTTCTTCTTCCAGAGAGAATATAGGCACCAGAGTGGCAGTGAATTTTGTTCACTGTTATATTTGCGCTTCCCCTAATAGTGCCAAAGTAAGTATTTACTGAATAAATGAAATGAAACACAAATCATGGAGTTTGACCTTTGCATGAGGGGAGAGGATAAGAAGGTAAGAAAACAGTATAAAGAAAGGGATCCATAGAAATAGAGAAGGATTAAATATGACAGAAAGGCAGAGGCCTTAAGTTGATGCCAAGATTTATATTAAAAAGATGAATTAGATATAGATTCCACAGGGCCTTGAATGCCAGGACATACACTTGTTATAAATCACCATTTTCAAAACTTTTTTTTAAAGCAACAAATTCTTTGTCATAAGAGAACTTACATGGAACGATGATATATTATATAAAAATATAAGGGGAAAATTTTAATGTAAGTTAAAAAACCATAATAGCCAAAAAAAGGTATGAAAAACAGTGATACAAGAGAAAGGTAATACAAAGCAAACTGTAAAGGTCTAAGGAAAAAAAGCAAAAGAAATTTGGGGACAAATTAAGCAAAATAGTTATCAAAGATACTTCCAATTTCATATTCAACTGTACTGAGGATGCTTCTAAATGAAAGAAAAAAGAAATCTAGGGAAAAGGGCTTTGAGAAAATTAAGAGAAAAGTGACAGATAGATAGACAGACAGAGACAGAGAGTAAGATTATTCTCCAAAGTCCTTATATGCTTAGGTGCACAAGGTTCTGTTGTCTATAGTCTACTCTGCCTAGTCCCTCCCAGAATAATCAGTACACCATTACACCATCAGATACATTGTTCCCTTGCCCTATCTATCCAAATTTATACACGAAACACCTACAAACATCTGATTATACAAATCCTCTACTTAAAATTCTTTATCAGTTTTCTTATTTCTTCTTCTTCTTAAGATCCTTCAAAGTCTATCATTACCTACACGATAATGGTGACATTTCTTAATGTAACACTAAAGGTTTTGCAAAATTGGGCCTCTCTCCCATCTCTCCAGCCAGCTTTACCTCTCCTTTTTCTCTTAGATCTACAACTAAATAAACTATTTATATTCTTCTAAATGCAGCAGGTCCTTTCATGTCTTTGAAACTCTGCATATGATAATCCTCTTGCTTTATATTCTCTATTCTGTATACCAAGCTAACTCCTACCGATTATCTGAAATCCAGATCAATGCTCTCTTCCTCGAAGTCTTCCCTCCATCACTCAGTGCCATCTGCTAGCTTCTCAAAACATCCTATACACTATATCCATATAAAAGCATTTTAATCCCTGAATTGGCACCACTACTAGATTACAAGTATTGTTTTCCCAACCAGACCAATGTTCTTCAGTATCTAGTGCACAGCAGGGCCTCAATAAACACTGAAAAAATGAATGAAACAGTAAGTTACACAAGAGATTATGTGCGTGAGAAAACAGAGTTGGAAATGTGGACGAGTATTTGAAAAATAGCTTAAAATTTGGTTAAGACCAACGCTAGTGTTTGAAGACAAAACAAAGTTTCAAAAAAAATCAAGTAAATAAAGAAAAGTAAAGGATCTGATTAGAATGCGAAAAACAAAAGTAAAACAAAACAAAAAGTTTGTTCTAAAGTTAGGCCACAGTAACAAAAGCTTTATTACAAAACAAAAAGTTTGTTCTAAAGTTAGGCCACAGTAATGGTTACACAATTCTCTGAACATATTCAATACCACTGAGTTGTATCCTTTAAACATGTGACTTACTTAAAATGTGAATCATATTTCAATAAAGTTGGTAAAAACATTAAAAAATCAGTAATACTGATTTTTAACTTTTACACAATGAAGTTTATGCATTCACCTATAAAAAATGTTTTAAATATCCCTGAGCTCATTTGTATTTTTTTACTCAATTGTTTTATTCTATTAATCTACAATTATTGTTTGAAAATTGTTCTGACTACCTTGAGAAATGACAATTCTGATCCTTGTGATTTGTTTCTATTGCCATTTAAAATATACTTTTCTGAATGTTTGATCATTACTCTTGTGATCATTATTCCTATTCACACTAAAACGGGAAGATAACTAATCATCATTGTATCTATAAATAATATTAAGGAAAACTCCCATTTATATAAGCCTTAAAGTAAAACAATATAGGGACTTTAATGCAAATGGATGACAGAAATATAAATAGATTAAATTTATTTGATTAAATGTTTGAAAAATCTGGTTTAAACAACATTGGAAAGCAGGCTCTTATTTTCTCTCTGAATGTAGAAGCTTCAGAAACATCCGTGCTTCTATAACATAGGACTCTAACAATGAGGCTAAGAAAATAAACAGCACTATAGTATTCTTTTTTACCGTAATTAAAAATTTAAATGCCAGGCATGGTGGCTTACTCCTATAATCTCCTCACTCAGGAGACTGAGGCAGGAGGGTCATTGCAAGTTCAAGATCAGGCTAGGCTACTAAATGAGCCCAAGGCCAGCCTGAACAGAATGGCGTGACCCTGTCTCAAAAACACAAGGACAAAAAAAAAATTAAAATTTAGGACTTGGGTGTAGCCCATCAATACAGATCTTGCTGGACATGCACAAAGCACTGGATTTGATCCCTAGCACCACAAGAAATAAAACTTTAAAAAGTTACAAGCAACTAATTCATTGAAAATACAACACTCATTCTATTCTCATGCTTTACTATATTTTTCTTATGAAAAGAAATGATGCACTGCTTTAGTATATCAAATTATTTATACATCAGGTGCTACATTTTTATTTCAGAAACAAGATACAAGGTACTATACTCTATGCTAACTTATCCTTCACTGTTAATCAAGTTTAAAGAAACTCTTTATAGATGGCTAGAGACTGAAAACTAAAATATCAGTATACCATTAATATTTTAATTGAACTATGAATATTCATAGCCCTTTATGTCTTTAAAGAATAAGATAACTAAATTATTCTACAATGCAAATTTCAGTTTTGAGGTGACATTGTACCGTCATCTACGTTATGAAAAACCAATGCATTTTGGGTCCATTTATTATTTATGTAATTCTAGAGATTTTCAAGCTAACAAGAGCTATTGAACACAAGCAGCATTTTCTCAGATGGGAGCAAAGTAACTGAGGTGTTGCAAAATCATTTTGCCCCAGTCATCATAAAGAGCTGTATTTTATTTTTTCATTTTTCCAAACTAATTTCAACACCACCCCAACACCTGTTCTTTACAACAAGCCCAAGAGAATAGCAGAATGCAACACTATTAAAGATTTATTTCTTTGCTTTTTTAGCACCCTCGGTAAATCTTGCTCTAATTCTATAAAGAATGCTAAGAACCTTAATAGTTATACTAAATATTTTATAAAATTAATAGTGCATTACTTCAATTTTCAATCATAAATACCTTTATTCATGTTAATCAATGTTGAAAAAACTCCTCTTTATGTAATGGTACAAGTAACCTACTAATTAAAGAAGCTATCAAAAGTATATTGCTGTAATAGTTATATATATTTTGAATCACATTATTTAAAGCTAGCCATGGTGATAAGATATACAGCAACTAAAATTTCTATGAGAAATTCTATTTTTCATTGATTTTGAGATATAAAACTATGTCCCTGAGTTAAACCATTTACAGAACAATAGAATAGATCTATAATGTACAATAATTAGTAATTTGGGAATTATATACAAGGTTCTGTGGCACAAAATAAAATGAAAAGACTATTTACTAAGGATAGCTAGCTAAATCATGAAAATTATACTAATTATATGGTGAGAGGTGAAACTGATATAAAAGAGAGAAAGATGGCCAAAAGAAAAATGCAGAACTAAAAACGTTCCATTCCCTTAACTCTATGTTACAGTCCCATAACAAAACACAAGTATTACAATTTTAACACACTAAGAAAATAATCTTAGAATAACGATTTGAAATGTACAATGAATTGAAAAATATTTGTATCTATCTATTGGAAGGTTGTGAAAGAAACATCAACACTTAACCTGAAAATCTATAATCTCAATTATGTTGATTTGTATTTGATTATGAACACTGACTTGCATAATGTGATTGTGCTAGTATTTCATTATGCAATAATGTCCTTCCAAATAAGCCAGATGGATCTGTCTTGGTTTCTTTTTTGATTTTAACTTCCTTTTGGAAGTCATAAAAACTGCATATGCAAAGCAAAACTACAACTTTCATTCATTCAGTCAATAAATATGCATTGAGCATATATGTGTGTGTGCGTGTGTGTGTTTATGGAAATAAACTTGAATTCTACCATTCTATTATTAAAGTATGGGTGAAAACATTTGATAGTAATTGCAAAATTAAATTGAAAACTGTATTTTTTTTTACAGGCAATCGATCCAGATTGCAAACATGATAGGAGACAACACGATCACAAGCAAGATTACTGAACAAGAATGACAGCATCTAAATTCTTCTCCAGACTCTGCCCTAATCTGTTCAAATTTGAAAAAAAGTCATTAACTTGGGGGAGGGGGAACCTCTCAGTTATTTTTTCTGAAAAGTGAACCAGATGTTATCCAAGAGATCTGCTAATTTTGTAATAATCACTGGAATAATTATAAGAGCAGTTGTCTTATTAGGAGGAAAAGAATGTAAGTATTTATGATAGTGATTCAGGAACTCATAACATGTCATTTCCACAGTTCAAAAGTTTTCCATTAACAAAACACCATTAGTAAAGAGAGAAAAAAGAAACATAATTTGTAATTTCATCTTATTTTTCTGTTTCTTAAAGTCTGATGACTGCATTAAATACAGTGAATGTTGTGGTGGTTACTTATGGTGTCAATTTGAATGAGAAATGCCTAACGGGTTAGTTTAGCACCATTCTGGATGGGGAAGAATGCCTTACTGAAGACTGAAGATCCACCCTGAGTGTGGGTGGTGCCAATCAACAGGCTTCTAGCCAAGATCGGAAAAAAGAAATCTCACTTCTGTTTCTGAGGAGGACGTCCAGTCTTTGCCACTGTTTTTGAATGTCCCTCGCAAGGCTTTCCACATGGACTCTTCACCCTTGCAGCACACACTTCAGCCTTTCAGCTAACTGTGCCCCTTTCCAGTAGGGAGTGGAACTCTGCAGGATGCTCCAGGCCTTCCACTATTGACTGGATCCCTCAGATCTCCAGAACACACAGTATACTTTTGCATCCTGCCACATCTGATTAAGCAGGCAATTACTGAAGCCTATCTTGGAAATACAGTATAATCTCTTCCTCTCATGAACCCTAACTAAAAAATGTTCAAAGCAAATAGAGTTGACACATTTTCTCTTTGTAATCTAAAATATTATTCCACAAAGGTCTATTAAACTTCTATTATGTGTGCAATTATTTTTTTTAAGTCTATATAAACTATCCTGTGAAAAGGACGGCTGAGTCAAATGTTTTGCCCCTGTAAGTATGGGAGCCTTTTCTCTTATTTATTAAGAAATAAAAATATATATCCAACTCAGAATAGTCTTTCTTCCTCTCTTTCACTCACACACACACACACACACACACACACGAGTAACAGACCTGAACGTAAAAGCAAGCAACCAATTTAATCACAGCATCCTCTTCTGTAAGTGGAAATAAATGTCATAATAATCATATATATTAGGTGTTACAAAAATAATGTTTTACAATGCTAATATTTACATATTAAATAATTGTAATGATGGCTATTTTACAAGCCATCCTTGCACTTATTTTATGTAAATTAAACTGACAAATTAATTTGCTCTAAATCTCAAAGTTTTATAAACTTGTGCTATGCATAAAAGGGCTATCTGGATACCTCTTCATAGGTACCTCTTCAAAACCACACTGTAGTCCAAATATCCTCTATTATGAAGATGGCTTCAAGTTCTCATTTCTGTACTTCAGATTGTTTATCTTTCTACTGAATGAGATCACCTTTAGTATTATCTACATAGTCACTGTTCCCTCCTCAAGGAATCAGCTTTTATCAATCTGTCATTATTGGAATTCCCCCACCTTTGCTCATTTTGACTTTGCTGACCGTTAGCAATAAGGCAATGTAAGATAATAACTTAACCGTTAGTTAAAATTCAACTAACAGATGTCCTCTGTAAGTGGGTTAAATGACCTTTCATAGTGTATAGTAATATATTACATAATTATAATTTCACTGTGATGGAAGCAACAGACTGAAGTAAAAAACAGAAGCCAACCAATCACTTTTCTTAAGGTGTGATCTGCCAATTATCTCAACCAACACAGATCCTAATATTATCATTCTAGGCCATATGTGTAATTCTCAAGCAAAAAATAAATCTTTTAACAAGTCTGTAAGAACTGTTGGCACTCATTCATGCCAGCCTGCACTAACATCTTGAAGATTTTTCCTTATTACGAAGAGTATATAACAAGGGGGGAGTAGAAGAGGTAGGAGACAACGTAGCCATAAACGTGAATTAGTTAACATGCGAAGATCCAAGTGATTCTTTTTACATTTGCTAATAGATTAGAAGAAAAACACTGGCAGTGCTCCCTACTCCCAAGCTGAAGGGAATGCGGAGGTCCAGAACACATTCAATATTCACTGTGCCCATCTGTCAGTAACACAGTCACCACATAGAACGCGTAATTACCAAAGCCCCTTTCAGATATAATCTGTCAACCACATCTAGTCCTCCTGCCAAAAAGAAATCAGAACTGAGGAATGCAAAAACAGACTGGCCTTATGGGACCAAGGAGAAGTTCACTGGTAAAGAAAGGAAAAGGGAGGATTGGAGGACAGCTTTAAGCACAGACAAGAGTATTTTTAAATTGTACACCACTGGTCATCAAGAAAAAACAGAAAGATAGAAGCGCTGCTATGGTTTAGTCAACTTTGTTCTACTGTTTTTATTACAATGTTAATTTCAAGAAATGATCTACTCATGAAATTGGTTATCTGAGGACAAGTAACAGACTAGATTTGCTCCTCTCTACTGCCACTCTATAACCATAGCCTACCACCAAAGCATAATTTTTAAATCAAGGTAATTGTTTTATTCTGCAAATATGTATTAAATGTTTTCATTATCTGAGTAGTATTGGATATGTGATGTATATACAATTTTTGAAGAGATTTTTTAAATTAGTGCTTCAAAGATAATAAACCAGTATTTCTCTGATCTGCTTTGTGATTGACTATTCAATAAAATCTACTACTAAGATTTAGTCCATTATTACCACACTAAATAAACGTGCACTGAAGTAAACAATATATTCAATGAATCAAAGTTAAGAGAGACAACAACTGAGTATACAGTAAACTCAAATTTGAGGTGACAAAGACATGGACAATGTGGTGGCAGTGAAACACAGAACCAATGAGAGGTAAATTAAAAGAGGAAAGGACAAGAGAAAATGAATACACGCTAACTTCCTTTTGAAAAGAAATTGCTTTAAAACTTTCTCAGCAGGAAACTGAGAATATGTCTTTTTCCTTTCAACAAGGGTTTCTAATGAGAAAAAGAGAAAGAGCACCCAGTGTCAGGCACACATACAACATTAACGTGAGAATATTTACTTTTCTGAGAAGAAATGGCTATGCTGACATTGAGATTCATTTTATGCTTGCAAAGAGTTGACATTTCAGGATTGAGGCAGCTGTCAGGAATGGCTGGGCACCAGCCCTCTAGACCAACAGATTGACTGTACATAAATATACAACACATTGACTAGACACACAAACAAAAAGCATGCTGACCCTACTCCTTAAACAAAGATACACATCTTACCTGAGACCCAAGCCAGGTCAAATAGCAAAGATTTTCATCTACTATCTATTTTGAAGAGGCATGCAGTCTAGTAAAGAAGCTTATAATCTAGATTCAGTTTAATTCTCTAAAAAATCTAAAAATACATATAAGTAGGAGTATATTGATAAATGTGTAAATATATTACAAAATTTTAAATATATATATAGATGATATATACAATTACAGCACAATCAAATGATCATGTGTGAATGCTCAAAAACATATATGTACACAGGCACAGGCTCTATTCAAAAGCCTTGAGATATGTCTTACATATATACATTTTATATTTATTCATCAGATATACACACAAATAATAACATGAAATCACACAAACTATTAATGAAAACAGCAATTTACCAGAAGTTGTACCTAGGTAAGTTAAGAAGCACTTTGAAAAGATAAAATGTTTTAAATGTCCTATACAATAACTGGAAGCATTGTACGATAAATACAAAGGTGTTTTAAGGTTTTGCAAGAATATTCTTATACTCCTTCATAGTAGAAACACATGAAATCCCAGAAATACATGAAATCTTGTAATCACCACAGGAACACCCACCCTTGACAGTTACAAACCAATCCCTAGGCTAGCAGTTAAATCCTGGTTCTAAATTCTCAGTGTTCTGCAGGACTGTGTGTTTTGGAGAGCATAGTATTAGCCTCCTAGGTCCCTAATTTCCCCTGAATGGACAGGCCCAAGCAGAGGATCAGAGCCCAAGACTTGCCAGAGAAAGCATGATGAGGGGACGAAAATACTACCCTCTCTCCAGGATGTGACACTGAAACTGACCCTTTTACCACTCTTCTGGGGAGTCCTATAGCTTACCTGGATTGGTGCCTGAATACTTAGGTTCCTAATTATTTCTATCACTAACAAATGTACAAATGTATTTTACCACTCTGGATATATTTGGTCAATTTGTTACTCTGTTAAAAAAAAAAAAAAAGAGAGGTTCCACCTGGCTCTAAAATAATATACAATACAGTAAGGTATCCTTTTTTAAAGTTATTTTTAATCAGGTAATTTCAAAGTAGGCATTTAAATTATATTCAAGCTCTACCTGTTTATGTATTACCACTGTTGAATGTGACATTCTTTTGTTTATAGATGGAATATTTTCAACTTACTTATATAAAGTTAAGAGTTTTATAATATGCTTACATCCTGAAATATTATCATCGAATCTGAATAATGTTTCCTGGCAAGTGGAAAATACATGGCTAAAAAATTTAAAAGTATTCGACTGTTTTCCCAAAATAGTTCCCCTGTTTTCATAGTAGGACCTTGTACTTGTTCAGTTGGAAAATATAATTATTAGTAGGAAGCAGAATCCTAAGTCTTTTTAAACCAATACAGATAACGTACCACTATTCTTGGATTAACAGTCAGCAATTGCAATCATGCTGTTTCAGTGAAATGACACTTGGAGACACCTTAAACCCTTCCCCATAAACCAAATAGCTCTTTTAAGTCAGTAATATATCCATCTTAAAAGTTTACCATTTTATTTCACTAAAGTGATTTTTGTTATGCCAGAAGGAATTGCTGTTATAGATATATATTTTCAATTTTACTTCCTATATTCATCCTTAACCTTTCAAATGCTAGAAACCTTTCATATATACTCAGAGAAACTGTCAATTTTCTATTTCTATTGTTCAAAGTAAAATGATTATCCAACTTATTTATTATTCTTGATTTATTGTTATTTTTATATTGAATAAGCTTTTCCAAGGTTTTTTTGTTTTTTTCCCCTAAGCGTATTGATTTTTCAGTTCGTTTTATTTTCCAGGCAAGTTCATGTTTTGGACTATTCAATTATTCACAGCTATAACTCAGACTTACCATTTGCACTGCTGGAAATTTAAAAGACAAATTTAGAGAGCATTCGAGGGACAATTTAAGTGCTAAATAAGCCATAATGATTCTGAAACAAAAGGAAATAGACTAAGGTGCTGTGCTAAAGTACCTTTAAGCAAAACTATAACCGTTCAAGTAATTACCTGCTTTCTAGGATATCAAGTGTTTTTATTCCAAATAAAACTGCTTTTTCCACCAGATTCCTTCCACCATTTTTTATTTTCACCGAAGTATTCACTAACAACAAAAATTAGTGAATTCTAATTATTTATTCATTCAGTTTCTGCCATAGTTTCAAAATGTCCCCTCCAAAACTGAGATGTTGACAGCATGATGGTATTAAGAAGCAGAGTCTTCAAAAGGTGTTTAGACCATGAAGTTTTCTCGCTCATGAATGAGTCCCCTTCCACCTTCACCCCATATTGATACCATATTCCTCCCTGCCAGAGGAGGCAGACCTCTCTAGAAAGCCAAAGAGGCTGGCATCTTATCTTGGAGTTCCCAATCTCAAGAACTATGAGAAAATAAATTAATGTTCTCTATAAATTACTCATTCTGTTGTATTTTGTTATAGCAGCACACAGGGACATACATGCTTTCTTCTAGAGATATGCACTTTTACTAGTAATATCCATATTGACTGACTTCCTCTGTCTGGGATACTGTATTGATATGGAGCATGAAGGGGTTTATTTGATTGCTGTTCTGAGACCTACCTGTCTTGCTATCAACCATTTTATGATCTAGAAACTAACCCAGCTGAACATTTACTAGTTACTTTCACAAACATCCTTCCTTCATTTGTTTTTTTTTTAATATTTAAACTGTATGTTTCACAAATCATTTAAAGGTAGATTTCAAATCAACTCAAAGTCCGCTATGAAGAAAGGCTTCACTACCCAGATTGTTCATTCAGTAAGTATGGAGATACAAATATTTAAAGTAGCATCTGTAACTAATTCCAAATTACACTGCTGTTAAAACTTTAGTTATCAAAGTCTTCTTTTAAATACCTGTATAAAGATAGCTGATACTGGGCAATTTTATTTTAGTTAATACCCAACATACATCTCTGTACCTCACAACACAAATGGCATCATGTTCAGTTCAGATGTTTCTAAAATTTCTAGGAAGAATTAGTCCCTTAATATTGCAGAAACATAAAAGCCATACATAAGAAAGTATTAAAAGAATGAGTACGACTCCTGATTTTCCAACTTTCCACATATATGACCTTGATATTTAACTTCAAGGTATGTTAGCTTAATGCATGATACAGTCCAGAATTCTCAAATAGTGACACAAAGATCCATATGTACCTGAATGGGTACTTATACCAACATACACATTCTTGGATCCTGTTTCCAAACATACTGTCATGGTTTATGTCTGTGGTCCCCAGGCCTCATGTGTTTGCATTGTGTATTTGTGACGGTTCATTGTTTAGTGCTTGGATTAATGGTGTCAGTGCTCCATCCACATAGGGGTGGAGCCAGGATGGGATGTAATGCAGGAAAAAGGTGTGTCTTGCTCTTTGCTGGTTCCGGCTTGCTGTTTGCAGCTGCCATGAAGTGCGGCCCAGCCATGCCTGCCTGCCTTGGAGCCAACTGAGTGTGGACTGAAACCTCCAAAAACTGTAAGAAATAAACCTTTCCTTTCCCAGCTTTGGGCTTCAGGTATTTTGTCTCAGCAACGAGTAAAAAGTAATTAAGACACATACTGACTCAAAAATCTCAGTTTAGAGATCATAAATTTGCATCTTTACCAAGAATTACATGAGGCACACTGAAAATTAAGAAGTACTATGGTAAAAGAGAAATGTATGCTGGGAGGGAAGCAATAATGCCATCTGGAAAAACTTAATATTAAACTTAGCCACAAATTTGCCTTGTATACACAGAAAAATATGCTTTAGGTTTTATTCCCTTCTGCTATGTGATTGACTGATCACTAATCATTGAGGCTGTAATGCCTCAGAATCTCAATTCTAAGTCTTAGGGACTTGGGGACCTCTGCTAACCTCCATCTTGTCTGCTGAAGTTTGAAAAGCAAGAGGTCATCAACATTCATTTGGTGCCACCACTCACACATTATATATTGACACTACAACTTGACCCTTATATACCTAAGTTAAATTGTTAAATATTCCCAGATAACCCACAAAAGTATTCCTACTCACTCACAACTCAGTTTCAATAGCACTACCACCTTCATGTAGAAGTAGTTAGACAACTATTTGATATTTTAATACATTTTGCAATTTTTATTTAAAAACTTAATGGTGAACTGAAAAATAAAAAAAAAAATAGGATATTTCCTATAAGCATAGGAGACAGAAATGTGAAATATTAGCTATTCCAAAGTACAAATCTCCAGCGGCAACCACAAAATCATTTTAAGAAGCCTGGAAACTTGGGCAATGAAATTTGGGAAAAGAATACTAACCTTCATTTATAAAATAGAGAATGATAGTCAAACTAAAAAGGAATAAATATTTTATACTTCCTTTATCTCTCTAGAAACAAAACTCAATGCCTTATCATAATGGTATGTGACCCAAACACACATCCAACTGTACACAGAGGTGTAAAATAGGGAGTGTTTTTTCTCAAAATTCTTTCACATTCTTCATTTTCCTATTAACATGAGGTTAATGCATGCTTAACTATGGTAAGTAGTTATGTATGTTTATAGTCTGCTTTTAAAATAATTTGATATCTTTTTCTGTTAAAAAGCCTGCTAGTACCTAACAATGAAATCTTACTCACTTTCCTAGAAGTTATGTTACCTTAACATTTCATCTAACTTTGAGAAATGAAGCTGGCCTCTCATCCATTATGTCTCAGGGCATATCTAACATCTTTGTCGTCTCCTGTAGGGTGACTGAAAATTCTTATTTTCCTCAGATGTAGCAAACAGTACCCATTTTTTCACATGATTGAGTTTCTTTATCTCTATCACCTGAAAATTTATGCTATCAAGTTTCTAGTTATCTTAAGGTTTTTGTTTGTTTTCAGATCTTTGATCTTTTTTAAATTTTATGTTCTGTGCATTCTTTCTGAAAAGGAATTCCAGAAACATGAAACATGCAGTTCTCTCCCTCCTTCTCTCTCTCTTTTTCCTTCTCTCTCTCTCTTAACTCCCTCTTCAATAGTGAATCATATCATCAGTAAATACAACTCACTCTATACAGTCAACATTCTTTAACTCAGCTTATACCTGGTCTCCTAAATCAATCTATTAATCAGCAGTCTATAAAGTTAACTATTTTAAGATTCCATTTAAAAATAAATTTATTATAGTTCCTTATTGTGAGTACTCTACTGTCCTATACACATAAGTAATTTGTCATTTTTTCTTTGCATTTCCAAAGTTCTCTAGCATTATACTTCTTATGTTTATTCACATTTCACCTCCTTTAGCAATCCTATTCATCCTACTTATCTCTAAGATACCTTAGAAGAAAGCATCCAGCAAAATTCTTTGCACATGAATGATACTCAATAAAATTTAATTGAATTAGTGGAGTCAAAGCAGAAGTCAAGTAATTTCCTCCTGGTTTATCCTTAGGTAATTTCCAAATGGAATAAAATTTTACATGTAAAAAATAAAACTGATAAAATGCCTTAGAGTATAACCTCAATTGGTGGAAACCTTTTATAACTGTGTTATAAACATAAGCCATAAAAATATAAGCCATAAAAGAAAACCTTGTCATATTTTCAAAATATAAATTAAACATTTTGCATGGCAAAAACTATGATAAGAAAAGTCCAAGTATAAATGGGAAAAAAATTAAAAACTCATATCTCAAAATGCTTCCCTTCCAAAGAATTTCTACAATAAGAAGAAAAAAGGAAATAAAATTATGCATAATGTCAGATCACAAAAAGAAAAAAATGCCCATATATTAAAAAACTTAGTCTCACAATTAGGAGAAATATATATTCAAACTAAAAGTCTTTTATACATCAGGTATGGAGTAAGTCAGGAGTTTGATAACACAATGCATTAATAAGAATGTAAAGAATGAAGAAAATTGCTGCTGAAGTATAAATTGGAATAACCATTATGACAGACAGTAGAGCAAATTGTTATACTACAAACACAATAATCAAAACTATAAACACAGGTTGGGAACCAGGCCATGTGATAGATCACAGGACTTCTAAATGTATGATTGATGTATTTCCCCATGGTCCAGAGGTTGGTGTTATCTTGCCTCAGGAACAGGAAACTAAAGAGAAGATCTCATAGTCCCAGGCTGTGAATGGAATGCTGATAACCTAGCATCCCTGAAGCAAGATAACATCCAATGAGGACTGTAGTCAAAATACAGGCTGGACATGGAAAGAAATCTGGCTCACTAACTCATCCCCCTTTTACTCGTTCTCCATAGTTGCCATTCCATAATCAAGTGTTATTCTCCTCACCCTATGCTTCTTGTTTGCTAGTAAAAGCGGGTCAGCCTTGAGAGTGTTGTGCTTGGCCACTAGAGGCAAGATCCTCCTGGTCCCCTTGTACTGCTGAGACACAGTTACAATGTAGGATCACATTTATAAGATGGCAAACATAGATATTTCATGATCAATTAGAGGTCTCTAACGAACATTCTGTTCTGCTGTTTCCACTGAATTCAATTAACCTTGACCTGTCTTCAGACTAGCTGCATACCTCTGATGAGCAGAGTCAGAATAATTGTCTACACTTGAAGTCACCTTGAACTAATTCAAGGGCCCCTCCCCAGAATGTTCCTGTGTTGTAGTAAATCCTTTAACTATCCTCACTCTATAAGGGCCCTCTCCCCTTGTTTCTAAATTATGAGAAATAATTCCTTTGTTTCAAGACTAGCCTGCCTGTCAATATGACTCAATGTATGAAACCAATTATGTAATATTTTATTACTTGCATGTACCTCCCACTTCTAAATTCTATATAAACTAAACTCTCCCTAAACTCTCTATATAAACTAAACTCTCAGCCCCATTGCCTTTGAGGAATTAACCCATGACAGTCCACTGGCATGAAGATCCAAAGGTCTGCTGGTATAAAGGTTAATCGCTGCCTTCTTATCTCTTTGGGGCAAAGACTCTTCCTTTCAGTTTGGTTTGGCTTGGCTTGGCTTGGGAATCTTTGGGCGACAGTGCCTTAAATTTTGTCTTTTGCCTTTCTTTGTTCCACGCTCTTCTCTCCTTAGGTGTCCAGAAGTCTGATCAGCCCCCAACAAAAACATATGCCATGTAACCCACAAATTTCCATGTCAGGAATTTATCTTACAGGTTTATTTTATGTGAGAGGACATCTATATTGTAGCACTGTTTGTGGTAGCAAAAGATTGGAAATAACATGAATCCCCATTAACAGAGGACTAGTAGAATAAACTCTAGTGCATCAATAAAATGAAATAGTTTTTAGCCATAACAACCTATAAAGAAAATTCCGTAACATATTAAATGAAATAACAGATGTTCAGAACAATGTTGGCAATGCGTAATTTATTTATGCATATATAATTTATATATATTTGTTTATAGCTTCAGGTATATAGCTTCTTGAAATGTGATCCTATACACAGGCGGTTGAGGTGAGGAGGATCAATTGAGCCTATGAAATCCAAGATCAGTCTGGACATCAACACAGCAAGACCTCATATGTGGCATTATTTACCAGTACACTGAAACATACACTGTGACAGGATAGATTTTGCAGATCTAACAAAAATTTAAAAAAAAAAAAAGCAACATGCCTGTTGAAATGACAGACACACAATGATATTTTCTTTTAATATAACCAAGTTCCACATATTACACATAACAAATTCATTTGAACACGCTATATTTTATCTGGCAACTTTAGCCCAAAGCTATTGAATCACAAGTTCTAAAGGTGGATCCCAGAAATCTATGTTTTTACAAGTCCTCAAAAAGTTCTTCATGCAACTAAATTTTGAGACTCAGTGGCTTAGACTTTGCTCCTTCTTGAGCTATCTCTAACACACTCTGACCTCTAAGTAAAAAAAAATAATAATAATAATAACACTCTTTGAGTGAGAGAATCTATAGTTGTCAACATATTTACTGAACACTCACTATGTCTTAGGCACCATCACAGAATTTCCCATGGATTTTCTCTTTCAATGATCACTGTAATGGTTTTGTTAGATTGAAAGTGCACTTTAGTTGGTTTGGCTAAAAGTGCGTGTGGGGAACCAGACTGCTTCGAAGCTTAGGGCCATCTCAGGACACTAGAGGATGTGACCCTGGTTCCCAGTGCAGGTGCACAGTGAGATACAGTTATGTAACCATGACTTAGTGCAGTAAATATACGTGCACAAGTTACAGCACAATGTAAGAATATAAATATAAGATAACAACCCATATAGAATTACAAAAAATGAAGAGGCAGGTACTCTTGTGCTGTGGCGCTCTTGCTCTACCTTTGTTCCATGTTACCTGCTGTAGTTGCTGATGTACTGCACACATGTGTTCTCTTTAACCTGTGGACCTCACCCATGAAAATGTCCCTTGGGCTCCTGAGTGGTCCGAAAGGATGTCATAAAAATGATTAAATCTTCTTTCTTATTTATAATTTAATTTCCTATTGAAAATAGGTGAGAAAAGAGACCAAAAAAGGAAAACTCTGAACTGTAACTAGGTAGGCATAATAAAAAAATTTCACTGAAGCAAATGCTCTTTCTGTACAGTCCAATGTAAGACTAATACATCAACAAGAATAAAGTATTCTTAGCACCTACATTTTCTTCTAAAGCAACTCCATTCAATAGTATTATGCCTCAAAGAATAACTCAGCAGGAAAGTTCACATGAACAAAGAGTTGATGTCAGAAGACAGCAGTCTCAATGTGTAATTTAGTTCCTGGCAATTTTGTAGAAACAAATTTCTGTCTTTGCCCAATGTGTATTTTATGTTAAAAGCATAAGCAAGTATATTCGAATCCCTATGTTTTAAGGGCCTGTTTTATAAGGACTTGATGTAGTTTATGATTCACCTAAATTTTTCCAGTTTATTTGTTCCATATAGTTTTACTAAACCATTTTGGTGGAGGCACAGAAATGACAGATAACATATCAGACATCTCAAACTATACACATCTATGCTATAGCTGACGCACATAAAATCTGACTGTTAGGTGCTTAGAGAGAGGTCTTTAAAAGACAAGCACACCTATCTTTAGGTTCTTAAGAACACTAAAGTGTCTTAATTTTTCTACATAAGCTATCATATCTGACCTGTACAAGAACAGGACGAAAAAATATGTGGCATGTAAAGATGGAAGAGAATTAGAAGTAGAAATCTCACAACCTATAACAGCTACAGGACAATTAAACTCAATTCTTTACAGATGGTTTGTGAGAGAACATTAATTTGCCCAAATTTGAATCACTTTTTAAAACAAACACTCCTTGAAGCTAAATTTTTGTTCATTCTAGATACTTCAATAATTAAAAATCCATTTTGCCTCCCTCAACCCCTCAATCTCTTTCAATTTCATATGACATTGAAAATGGCTGTTAAAAATGACCACTAATATCAGACTGGACATCACAACATAAATCAAATAAATGAAATTTAACACTCTAAAATATAATGTTCAGCCTTCCAAATCTGATTACAAATAGTCTTCCTTGGCCTGAAATAAGCATTTTCAATACAAAAGTAGCACTAAATTGTCCAAAATGATTCCATGCTCCTTTTCATGATTTTATGCGTCACCACACTCTATCCCAGCAGACCAGTGCACTCTTAATGAGGCTTTTTTTTATTACAATTAATTAGAAAAGTATTTGCTTTGGCCACAGGAAGGCTAACAATACAAAATATGATGACTCAGAAATTAAAAATTAAAAGCTTTTATTAAGAGGCATGAGAACTACTAAGGACAAATTAAGATTCTTTCATGTTGGATTTCATAGGTAACAAGGTCCCAGTGTGATGCATTACTTGCAATGCATTACTTGTATCATTTGAAACCACAATGACTCAATGCCCCCAATCCTTCTGTCAATTTGTTGTCCTAACACAAAACAAGACTATTTCAGCTGTGCTTATCTGAAACTAACTGCAATTTTCCAGCTCTTTAACACTTGTAAAAACAGCCACAGTTAAAATAAAGGCAATACTTTCCCTAGGTAAGAAAAAAATACTTGTCAAAGGTATGCCATAAGTGATGAGAACATAACAAAAATGATACATCTAGAAATACCAGATGAATGATATTTAGAGAACCACATTAACCGGAAGAACCAATGTCAGGAAATTGGAGAAACCTAGTAATGCAGAACTCAAGATTCGAAAGGGAAGCACGGTTAGAAATTAATTCAGGGGTCAGGCCATAGATCAGTGAGATTTATCTTCAGAATAGATACCAAACTCAAGGCATAGGCAGTCTGGAGCAGGACAGAGTTCACTAAGACGCAAATGAAACCGTCAGTGAAGTTCAGCTATTTCTTCACAGGGAAAAACCAATAAACATATGTTAATAGAATTGGCATTCCACCACTTTTAGAAATATTCAAGAAAATACAGTCAGGAAATGGCATTTTAAGATGATGGAAACAAATACTAAATGATTTTTCTTTTTAGTTTCCAGGAGCTTTCCTGCAGTACACAAGTGGCAGGCAAATAAGGAATAATGGCTTACTAGAAAGTCTTTAGGGAAAATAAAATGAACTAAATAAGGCACATAGAAAATGCCAGTGAAAGACTTTTTAAAAAGTATTTATGACATACAGCTCTTCTCATACAATTTAAGATACTTTTCAGGGGTAATTTTATCCTTATTGCAAAGGCAAATGGTGTTTACTGGATACCCAAACACTACTCTACCCCATCTTCCACAGTAGAGATTAGAAAGCTACATGTTTCTTTGTCAGCATTCCCTACATAGCACCAGATATAAACAGAGGAGACCTGAGAAAGCTTTTATTTCACTGAATACAAGGTCACATACTGACACATCTTATCCCTAACCTCCTGCTTAGATATGAACATAATTACGGTACTAGAAACACCCATCTTGTGACTACCAGAGAACAGCAAAACGTTTTTTACAGAATCTCCTCAGAGTTCATTAAGTCACTGAACTAACATTGTTTTCACCTGAAATCAAGAAACTGAGAATTAGTAGATATTTAAAATAATTAGAAATGGCAGAGCTAGCCTATAAAAGATATTGAGACACTGACTGGACATCAGGAAAAAAATTTAAAGTTTGCTCTCACATATTACACAAATAAGTTTCACATGAATTAAAGACCTAATTGTACTACAGAAAAGTTAAGAGTAAGGCAGAAATCTTTATTTTTAATGTTGGGCTAAGGAAGTCTTACTAGACAATATTTTTAAATCAAAAAGCTATACATAAAATAGTAGAAAATATACTTTTTATAATCAAGAACACTATATAAAGTTTTTAAAATAAGAAACAACTGGCAAAATAATTTTGCCAAAGTGAAGAAAGGACATCCATAATACACACAAACATATACAAATTAATAAGAAGTACAGAAAAATGGCCTGGTGTGGTGGTGCATGCCTGTAATGCCAGCACTGGGGATGCTGAGGTAAGCAAATTGGTGTTAGTTTGAGACCAGCCTGGGCTACAATGTGAGTTCAAGGCCAGGTCAAACTGCATAGTGAGACCTTGTCTCAAGAAAAAAAAAAATTGAAGAAGTTGTCTCAAAAAAAAAAAAAAAAGAAGTACAGAAAAGTGGTAAAAGGATATAGAAAATAAACAGAAATAGAAATACACACCAAATGTCAACCAAAGTGCAAATCTAAAGATTTAACTGCTCAAGATTATAGATCTAAAAAATATTTTACATAACTAATGTTTATCATATACTTCCTCTATGCATGTGAGCCTTAAAATAGTAAGAAAGGCCAATGCCGGTCACATTGAATCCCTGGTGAGTATCTGGACACAGAATCCCTCTTGCTGCCCTTCAGGCTTCTAGGGAAGCAATCTTCATCAGTAGCTTGCCCTCTCAGCAAATGGAAGTTTACTAGATAATTTGAAGTATTAAGTCTTAATTATACTACCTGATCAGGATTCCATTTACATCAGTTTACAGTTTACATCACATACATGTACAGTGAGTATAACCACAGAGTATACAGGAAGAAACTATTGGAAGAAAAATAAAAATTGTATTAACCCCTGGAAATTAAAAAATGTATAAAATTTATCTATAATTTTTAATGTATCATTCTACATTATGAGGAAGAGTATTTAAACACATATTTTCACATTAAATTTTTTAACATTGTTTACCCATACTGCCTCAGGTTTTTCATGACCTTAAAGTAGTACCCGTGCATTTAATGAAAGAAATTGATTATTATGGCATTATGCCTAGGAAACCAATAAAAAAAAAAAAAAACACTATCAGCAAGTTTTTAATTTGAAGCTATGGTAGACTCCAAAATAGGTTTGATTGTAATATTCTTACTTTTTACACATTTTCTAGGATATCTAACAGATGCCAGGCCAAAAATGCTTTCAAAAACAAAACAAAACATCAGAATCAAAATGTAGGGCTGGGGATATAGCTCAACAGCACAGTACCTGCCTAGCAAAAGCAAGGCCTTGAGTTCGATTCCTGTTACCAAAAAAGAAAATAGGGGGAAAAAATCAGAATGTAAAACTGCTCCTTTCAGCAGGGATTTCATCATGAAAGTTATACAGACACACTGCTACTTTGATCAAGGAATAAAGAGCAGATGAATTAAGAAACATATATCACAGGTCAGAAACAATGCACGAGAAGATAACACGTTTCTTCATGTTTGTGCTGCTTTATGTACAATGACAAATGGATTACTAGATTAGGGCAATTAGTATCAGGAAGTTTTTTTTTTTTTTAACTATTCAAAAACTCATAAAAAGCATGCATACTTTACTTATTACACATCTGTATCCTGACACCTTGACAAGTCCTAAAAGTATAAATTTAATAAATCTACTTCCTGAAAAAATTGTATTTTTTAAATTCATGAAAATAGAAATTTTTTAAATTTCAAAATCAAATCGCTCACCCTGACTCATGAAATCTTAAGGCCATTAAAAATGCATTTGTCATTTAATTAGTAAAGACCCAATATGCAACATAAAATTGGTACGGAGAATGGAGGATGAAAAAGAAAGCATGTGATATCTAAAAGTGTGATGTTCACACCAGCCTAAAAAAAATCAGGGTGAATAAAAGCTGTATTATCTGTGTTAAAGGAACAGGTTTCTGACTCCCTGTTGAAGCATTCCAGGTCAGTTTTTCATTGGTGAGTTGTTCAGTGATATAATCCTGAGGTGAGAGTTACTTAACATTCTGAAGAAGGCCCATCTTTTACTTAAATAAAAACACGCTTTTTCTCTGACTTACTGCTTTACCATTCACTCATTCACTAGTGTATTCATTCACTCACTCACTCACTGAAACAAGGAAAGTTTACATAAGCCCCAATAAAGAGCCTAACACAGGTCTTGGGTATCAGGAAGGGTTCCATCCTGGCAAGACTCTGGTTTTCTCACTCTTGTATCACACTGTGTATTCTCTTAAGATCAAGTCCTCACTCCCCTGCTCTTGACTTCATTCACCCTCTCCTATGATGTTTTATCCATCATTTCCAACAACACCCACAGAAAATATTCTCCTATGTCATCCCAGTCCCAGAATTCTCCCATAAGTGGTTAATTCCTATTATAACACTTCCACTGTAGGCCTCCAGCATCTATCCAAAAACATTTATGTTATACACAGAAACTAAATTTTATACTTACTATGGTATTTTTTTTTCTTTAAAAATCTGATATCATGTATCCTATTAAATGTAAATTTGATAGCGACTTCTTATTTTTGGACAGTGTAGGGAGTCATAAATTTAGCAATGATTTAGGGATTGAAGGTGGACTATAACAATAAGGAAATGGACACCAAAATCAAGTTAATCATAGCAAAATGAGACGGAAAAAGTAGGGCACAAAATTGCCTTTCAAAATAAGAATTAACTCCACATATGTATGGAAATTCCATTTAGGATAAGGATCAGAGGCAGGAAACAGCCAGAAGGGACTATTTGTACTGAAATACAAGCCATTAACTTCAGCCAAACTAACAGCAAATGACTGCAGTGGCAACTGCTGGCTGGAGATAATTAGTTTAGAACCTATTTTAACATGAATATTTTATCATGCAGCACAAAACTCGTTATGGAGAAGAATTAGAGAGACAGAATGTCTGAAGGCTCTGGAGAGGTGATCTGTCAGGTCCCAATAAAGATCCTTCTAGGGAAAAGCAGGTCTAGTGATTCAGCAAGACTAGATTTCATTAAGGTTACATCAATCCATTAAGAACATATCTGGTGACAAGTTAGAGTACAGGTACCAAGCTGCAGAGCAACAACTTAACTATACGCAACAACTGACAGGAAAAATGAAGCTAGTAAAAAGTCTCCTAATGTGATTACTGTTTTCTGAATGATGGATACATCCTATTTCTACAGGAAAAAATCTAATACACCTGGTCATTTCTCTCACAGAAATCATGACTATTTTATGTACATATTTATAAGGAGTAAAATTTAAACTTTTTTGAAAATTAAAAATTTATTTTTTGTGCTATGTAGGAGTATGTTACAGTGGATTTTCATTTCAAAACTATTTGTATATAGAGTGTATGTTCTAAGAGCTAACAATTATGGTTAAGAATCTTTTACCATCGTCATATTTAATCCCCCTGCATTACCCTGTGTGATAGGTACCACTATTTTGTCTATTCTAAAGATGACTAAATAGCAAAGAAATGCTAGTGTTAAACAGTTCTAAGTAGCAAAGCCCAATCTTAAAGTAATGCAGTCATTCTAAAGCCCATACTCTTCAATGTAAACTTCAAAGGTTTCTGAAAATAACCTTAGGTTCTTAGAGGAACAAGGTCTTTCAATTTTATTCAACAATTTAAAAATAAAAACAGAGGCACAAAGATATCTACTCAAAAAATGGGCCAGGGATCTAGCTCGTTGGCATAAGCACCCGCCTGGCAAGCACAAAGTCGTGAGTTCGATCCCTGGTATTAAAATACATACAAACATACACTGGAAAGTTGATTCTCCATATGCCGAAAACTAAAACTAGACTCATGCCCATCACCATGTGCTAAACTAAAGTCTAAATGGATAAAAGATCTAAATATTAAAACTGAAACACTAAATCTGTTGGAAGACAATGTAGATAAAAATCTTGAAGACATAGGGGTAAGTAGAAAATTCATGAACAAGAATCAAACCACACATGAAATACTACACAGAATTAATAACTGGGATCGTGTCCTGTTAAACAGTTTTTGCAGGTCGAAAGAAACCTCCAGAATAGCCAAAAGAAAACCTACAAACTGGGAAAAAAAATCTTAGTGAACGGTCCCTCAAAACAAAGGACTTCTGGATAGAATATACAAAAGAATTTTTTAAAAATCAGATCCCAAAATTCAAAGACTCATTCCAAAAATGGGCATTTGAGATGAATACACAGTTCTCAGATGAGGCAAATAAATACATGAAAAAATGTTCATTATTGGTCACTAGAGAAATGCAAATTAAAACAACACTGAGAGTCCATCTCACTCCAGAAAGAATGGCCAGGATAAAGAAAACTACCAACAACAAGCTGGAGAGGCTGCAGGGGGAAAGGAACTCTCCTGCACTGTTGGTGAGAGTGTAGACTGGTGCATCCACTGTGGAGGTCAGTCTGGAGGTTCCTCAAAAAGCTGAGTTGGAAGTCCCATTTGACCGAGCTATCCCACTTCTGGGCATATTCCCAGAAGAACTGAAAACATCATACCATAGTGATATATGTGCACCCATGTTTACAGCAGCACAATTTGTAATAACTAGATCTTGGAAACAATCATAAATGCCCATCAACTAAGGAATGGATAAAACAGATGTGGTATTTTTATACAATGGAGTATTACTCTGCTGTAAAGAATGATCACATTGAGATATTTATAAGTAAATGTATGCAACTCAAGACCATACTCATAAGTGAAATAAATCAAACTCACATGTGTAAATACCATATAGTCTCCTTAGCATAAGAAATGGTAAGAGTACATAAGATACAAAAAACTCAGTGATTACAGTGAAAGGATAAGAATCTGCTTAAAGGGAAAAAATAATATTTCAGGGAAAATGAGGAAAAAGAAAAAGGAAGGGAAAATAAAAAATGTCTAAAATTGTATCAACACACTTAGGATAGCTAAGATAATTGCACTACAAACTCTGTAAGTTCGTGGAACAAAATAGTTAATATTCGTAGGATTAGAACAATTATGTATATGATTGTATAGTGATCTGAGGAACTCTTGAAGATCATTATGGAAAATAACAACACTAGTTATGCTCATACCACCTTGTTTTGAAGGCCTATACAGTCAGTGTTCTGGGCTCTTTGCTATTGTTGTTTACATGTCTTTTCCGTCTTGTGTTTTTCTAGGAATTTGTTTTATTTTTCCTTCTAATACAGAAAGGATAGTTATACATTTAGAGACTCATGCATGTGTAGAACTTCTAAAAAGTTTATGAGAATCATTAATATAAAGCACAATGAAATGAACAGCTACTTTGAAGAAAAAGACACACTAAGGTACCCAGTGCTGATTCCATAGCATCATGATGTGAAATCCAGCAATACTATTAGCCTTTGTTCAGAGTGATTTTAGTCTGTTTTGTTTCAATTTCAACATACATGAATGTATGGATAGCTATTTTGAAGAGAATGAGAGACACTATGGCAGCCATTGTTGACTTCCTTATTGCCTAGTCTAAAATGCCTTCATAAAATCCTGTTCTAATCAGTTGTATACTATTTTATTTTGTATGAATTCATTGTATGTAAAGTTATGGACAACTATTTGGAAGAAAACAAGAGACAATATGATAGACAGTGAAGATCTCCAGTTGTCTTGCTTTGAAATCTATGTCTCTTACATTGTTATCTTATGATCTGTTTTGTTCTGTTTTGTTCTGTTTAATTTTACCTTTTTTAAAAATAAAAACATTCAAAATACATACATTCATATATACTTATTATGATAAGGAAAACAATATAAGCTCAAAGATTGTAAAGTAATAGGTTGCCTTTAAAGAAGAGACATGAAATGTCTTTCCCAGAAAAATTAAATCACTACTATTTTCTTAACCAATACACAGTCAATGACCAATCAAGAAAACAGACATTTTAATAATTGCTAATTATGCGATTTATTTAGATGTTTCAGTTTGTGTAAAGAATAGTCAAGTCTAGCACAGTTCTTTAAGCTGATGGGTATTCAGTAAATATTTGTTGTTATTTAGACAAATAACTTGCCAAGACCATCCTGTGCTATAAGAATTAATCTACATCACAGAGGAATTACAGGTTAGGTTCAACTTTTCCGGTAATTTCTAGTCTACTCCTTTTCCAAATATTTTCTATCCATGGCAATCTTGAATTCTCTAGACTTAGTGACATAGTACTATACCTAAGAGATGCTAAAACATGAGAAATCTTGCAATTGTTAATCCATGTTTTGATTCCGCAAGCATTTGCCATATGTAATGTGAAAAGATAGGGCAAAGTTAGCAAGACATAATTCCCTTGACCATAAACGTATCATGGTCTAGTTAAGGGAAAGAAATGTATAAATAAAAACTATAATACAATGTAATAATTGTTAATAAGTAAGAATTTACTGAAATAGGAAAGAAAAGACATTCAACTCTGACTGCGGGGTCGTGCAGGGTGCCACTGATGAAATGTGAAATATGATACAATATTCTTGCTTATAGCTACAGACCTAAGAATACAAGATCAAGTACACTAAAGAGGTGGAAATGGCAACAGTCACAAAGCCTTAAACCTAAAGTGAGCCCTGTGATTGCAATTCTGGTTCACTGTGATTTTGTTAGAGAAAAAAGTCAATTTAGTTGTGCTTCACAGCACTGTTTAGGGAGGTGGTCATAGATCCTACCCAAAACTGAGTGAAAAAAGAGTCAAGCTAAAAATTTCAATACCAGAGATAAATTTATTTTAAAAATGAAAAAAAATTATAATAACAGTTCTATTTTAGATATAAAGAAGTTAGAAATTTATAATTTAAAACTTACAAGGCTATTCCATTGACATTGAAAAGATTCTTCTTAATCAAATCATATACAAGAAAAATCTGCACAGAACCGTATTAAATCTTTGAGAAATAAAATTTTAAATTTAATCAATCTATAAAGTATAGTAAATAATGATTTTTTAAAATAACAGGCCAGGATTGCAATATTAATATTTCCTATCGATGTTAATACTTAATATAGGATAATATATGGCTTAAGAAAAGCTGATCTACACCAAGTCTAAATTTACAAAATAAAATGTGAAATTTTTCAGTATAAAAATTGAAATCTTCACTTTAAGCTAGCTTGTCTCTCCATTTCTGTAAACAGCCTATTTCTCATGGAATTCACATATTATTCATTCAAAAATTTTTATGATCTATAATATTATATTCTTACAAATAAGAATTCTTATAGCTCTCTGTAAGATTTACTTTATCACATAAAGTACAAATTTAAACACAACAGAATAAATGTGAATACACAGGAGGCAGGGGTTTCATGCTAGATGAGAGAGAAAGACTTAGTACAACTTTAACTTCTTCAACAGCAAAGTAAAGCCTGAGATGATGAAAACAACAGAGGAAACAATTATATAAAAGCGTCTTTCCCTTGGCCACCATCTCCCAAGACTAGCCCCTGTTATCTATTATATTTCTATTCAAGAAAAACTGGATCTGGCAAAGGAAAAGAAAAATTAAGGGACAAAATTTACATGTCTTTTTCATTTTCGTTTTCGTTCAGATGAACATTGAAAGACATTTTATCGAGTTGAGACAATGATGTCAAAAGAGAGATACACTTCTAAGTAGAAATAACAGCAGTATGAGCAAAGGCACATAGATGGGCAAGTGCAAAGATAAAGAGAAATCAAAAATCCTTTAAGGAAAAGGCTGAAGATAAGGGCTGGAAAAGTAGAACAATAAGAAAATCTAGAAAAGGAGAATAATATATTTAGAACATTATTTCAGGACTACTCAACACACTGTACAAAAGTGAGTGATAAAAACTTAGTAAAACAGGCATAAACCAATTCTGAGGAAGTAAAAGGTATGAATTGAGACAAAAAATAATGATACAAATCACATATATACTGTGATATAATACTTTTAACATGAATATCATACCTTAATAATAACATCGCTTTTCTTTATCTTATTTAATTCTCTTGACCATTCTATAAAATTGGGACACATACTACTGTCCCTAATTTACCAATAAACAATCAGTACCTGAGATTGTGTAAGTTTCCCAACAACACAGTAGGGGTAAGAATCATTTTAGTACCCAATGTATTTAATTGTTGGAGAAAAAAAGATCACCTCCAGAAATTACAGCATTACTCTCCACCAGATGCTGGGCCAGGTGGTCTACGTACAATGGTGGTTAGTAACACCCATGCAGGCTGCTTGTGCTGTTTATACACATACGATCACTTCTAGCATCATCACTCCTAGCTCTCCTCAATCTTTTTTTAACTGATACATAAAATCTGTACCTATTTATGAGGTGTTATGCGGTATTTCATTACATCTATGTATTTTATAGTGTTCTAAGTGGACATACACAGATCCTCAAATATGATCATTTATGATGACAATATTCAAAATTCTTCCAATGTAGTATAAGTTAAATGTGTTACTTACATGTACAAACTCCCCATGATAACTGTAATTATTATGTAATACGAAGATATACTAGTAAAAATATTAATAAAATGAATAATTTTTAAAACTAAAAATACAATACAGGATCACAATCTATAGTTGAGTACACTATGCAACAGAATACCAGGACTTTTATCTTCTATCTAAGTATAACTCAGCACTCATTAATAAATCTTTCTCCTTAACTATACATTCATTCTAGGGTATGACGGTCTCTGCAAAAAAAACCCTGTAGAAACTGTCTAATTGCCTTTTATGTCTTGCAGAGACTGCAGCTGAAAGAACATAATACCTAATCTACCCAAATTCAAAGTAATTTCAAAAATCAATAATTGACACATAATTATGTGTCAATTTCTATAACATGTTGAGTATCAATAAAAAAACTGCAGATAAAAATCTCAAATATATGCTACAGTGTAAGCAAGAAGTACTTTTTTGTTTTAATAAGATAGCAGAAACACAAAGGCAACATCAATGATTTCTGTCCTGTCTATTAACACAGCGGCTTTGAAGAGTGGCTAAAACATTTAAGATGCAATGTAAAACAATGCTAGCTGACACATAAACCAATAATTCTGCCTCGAGCTTAGAGAAGCATTTTTATGAGGTTGGAAAACCATGGTTCAATAGAGCCATGTTTTGTTTCGTTTTGTTTTTTCTTGTTGCTGAAATCAAAGGTTCCTAATGATATAAAACAACTTCAATATCATGCAGTCTCAATGTAACCAGTTTTATTACTTTTTATATTCAATCAAAATGCCAAATGCCATTCACAATACCATTACTTTTGAACCATGAAAATCTATTTAAATTCATTACTATTATTACTTTTTAAAATGTCCAAAATGATCTAACTCCATCTTCTCATGAAGACTCAATAAAATAAAAATAAAATATTTTCCCTCTGCACTCCACATGCCAGAAATGGATACACTGCTCCCCGCTGTTAATGAAGTGAAAGAAACACTACTGCTGTACTGCTAATGCACTCATCTAATGAATTATTTTTTCATAGCAATTACTATAATAGCAATAACTCATCTCAAATGTTAGCCTTTTAACATAGGCATATTATTTTCATATCCAGCTTTATTTTGCTTACCTCTTGGACAAATTTAAATGAATGAAAACCAGCCAGATTACAGGTGGCATAAACCCCCAAAGAAACACCATATGGAGATTCATATGCTTTGGCACTACATCAGCCTATGACAGAAACCTGGACTACAACTCTGGAGCAACTGGCTTCCCCTTTGTATCAACTGTCTGTGTTATAGAACACATTCTAAATCCTGTATTATATATCATACACCTAACTACTCAGTGCACTCAATCACAATGCACAGCAGCAACTTTGCCCCTTCCAGAAATAAAAACCAAATTTGAAACAGTTAAATTTAGCAATATTTCCTTATAGAGTAGATCAGAAAACTACTAAGAACAAATTTTCCATAGAAAGAAAAATCTATAACAAAAAGAAATTATAACAACAAATGACCAAACAGCCAGTATACTACAGTATAGTTTAAAATAGATCTCCAAATGAAAAAGTAGGTAAAGGACAGACATGTATCGTACTGTAAGAGTCTTATACAGCATGGAACATAGGACTAAACTAATTAATTAGAAACATCCTTTGCATCAGATTATTTCTCACAAAATTATCAGCAAGTACAAACTTAACAGGATAATTTATTAATCAGGGTTTAGGCAGAAGAGCAGGACCAGTATGAAAGTGACGGCGAACTGTTTACAGCTTTCAATGACATAAACAGCCCACTGATGCATGCCTAATAGAAGTTTGCACCATAGGGCTAGAGTGATCAGAGACAGCATATTTGCAGTTGCAGCTCAGTAAAGTCTGGTTGCTTATGTTCAGATTCTTATTTTTTATTCATAAAACTGAATGATAAAAGAAAGTACAAAATCCTTACACTAATAACACTATTGATAGTAATAAAAAATAGCAAAGCAGTTACTCCTGGGCGAAAACTAGATGTCATTAAATGCTAGATTTGCTCAGAGATATTTTAGTCTCAAACTTACAGCCGTTTTTCAAAAAACTTTGTTATTTAAATACTTTCAGGACAAAAACTTTGTTATTCTAAGTAATGACCACAATACTATAATAAAAGCACCTGAATACAGGTGGGTATTTAATACTACTAAATATAACACATTGTTATAAAAGAAAAATTCTTACTTAGGGAGCATCAACTATGTGCCTTGCATTTTGCTTTATTCTGGAATCACAAAAGTAAACAGGGAATTGTGGTGCCTACTATCAAAGACTTTCATTTATTTAATAAATGTGATGATTTATACGTAACAAGTCTTAGCTGAGAGTGGAAAATTAACACCTACCTGAAGTATTTTATAACAAAAAGCACCATTTCAATTCAAATATAAAACTGTCTGAGAACACACTGTACACAAGTTTTGATCCATAAGAAATAGGTAATTAAGAAACAGAATTCATAGGTTTCCTACCACTTATGTTTAATGAAAAGTACCAGGCACATGAACCTCAAAATTTAAAATGCCGAGAAAAACATGGTAAAGAGAAAGGTGAATTTCAATAATGGACCATATGATAGCTTGAAGTCAAATAGGTAGAAAAGGTTACCAGACTATTACATAAAAATCTGTGCCTAAAATTGTGTCCCAGGCTTCAGCAAGGAATCAGCCAAGATTTCTCATGCAGTCCTTCTTAACATACATGTACAAATGTAAACAAAACACCGATGTACTTAAGTGGATTAGAGGGCAACATCAAAAGACAATAATTAGTAAACAAATGTCACCTTACAGAAATGTTCTCATGTGTCAAATAAGGATAGGTCCTTTTTTCCTTGTCTTCTGTCAGCCTTTTCACCCCATCAAGACAGAAAAAAAAAAAATACTTATAAAACTTACGCATGTCATGAGACTGGAAAGATGATAAGAAAAAACGTGGATAAAAAACACAATAGTCTAGAACTCTGCATGCAAGTTAAGGAAATTTAAAAGAATAAAGATCAAATTTTATCCTTGAGGGGAAAAAAAACTATATAAAAAGAGAATGGTATTGACAAAATGTAAAACTATAAAAACACAACTCACTTTGAAAGGAACTGACTACAAAGGGGCTTGGGAGAACTGAGTAAATAAAGGAAATGCAAGAATTCCATATTGGAATTGTAAGCTCCATGACAGGACAAATGCATCTTATCACGCACCTGAGAAAGATATCTTTCTGTACATAATCCTTTCAATAATTTTAACCATAGAATGATTTCTAAAATAAACAAACGTGGCTTCAAAACCTTTAGAGGTTATGATCTGATCCCAGGGGCACAGGCCTATACTTCCACTATCTGATAGGCTTAACTAGGAAGAAGACAAGTTTAAGCCCAACCCAAACAATTTAGTGAGACCCTGTCAAAATAAAAATCTAAAAGGAACTGGGGAAGTAGCACAGTGATAGAGCGCTGACCATGCTACACATAGATTCAATGCCCCAAACTATGTACAAAAAAGATGATAAAGCAACAGACTAAACAGATATAAAATGTAACTAGAGTAATATTAGGTTGCATTAACAGAAACATCTACAATAAGGAAAGAAATTACCAGACTCATTAAAAAAGACTTGTTAAATTATATGTGAAAAGAGAACACATTTTCTACAATCAATTTCAACCAATTTAAATAGTCAAGAATATCAGTAAGAAGGAGAAGGTCACTAAAAATCCAAATATATAAACAGAAACTGGGCATTTGCATCTGGAAAAAAAAGTTCCAATAGGATCATGTCAGTTTATTAGACATGGTATCATGTATTAGACAGAAGGCCCTATGAGACTGAGATTAGACATTCTCTGAGGCTTTGACAAAGGGTCAAAGAAGAACCAATACATTTAAGTGATAGAAACAGACTGGAAACCAACTTAAAGAAATGATAGACAGAATTAAGTATTGGGAAAAAAAATCTTACTAAATCACTTTTAAGGCTTTAATATCAAAAATGGTTTAGGTGGATGATAAGAGAATCTAAATTGGGGAATCTGTAGTAGACAGAGAAAAAAGGATGAAAATAAAAGAAATACTTGATACCTCACAGTTCACGGGTATTCGCTTTTTCTTTTCCTATTAAATATTGTAACTTAAACTTGTCTTTATCTTATTTCTTCATATTCTCATAGTCAGAAAATCCTCCTAATGACCCAAATCTTTTCTTCCTATTTCTTTATATATGACATACAAAGATCCTCAAAAGAATACAGACCAGAAAAAGAACATAGGAAATCTACAAATAGAAGATAAGGCATTTCCCACAGTCAGACAACCTAGCACATTAGTATCCTATTGCTTTACAAACAGAATCTAAAGTGTTAGTGCTTTAATGTCCTTGATTTGGTTAAATCTAACATTTGAAAAATTAGCATTTAACAAAATTATTAACATGGTCCTGGGGATCAAAAATGGGGAAAAGGAAAAAACTGACATTGTTGGGATTCTGAAATTTCAGTTAAAATGTAGAAAAAAGATATGAGACATTGTGAAATGGCTCAATTTAATTTGTTACAAAAGAGTTAATAAAAAGAAAAAAAAAAGGTTCTAATGTCCTTAATCAAGAAATGGTTTCAAAACAAAGACATCAGAATCACATGCAGGAGTAAGGTAAGTTAGCTTCCTACTGGGAAAATAAACGAATAGTGAAAGTTAATATAAAAAGTCATTGTACCAGCAGGAATTGTACTAGATTTAAATTTAACTTGATCTTCAAATAATTAAGCAACTAGAATAACAAAAGATAAAACAATGAAGACATCAGTGTTAAACATGCTTTGATTATCAAGATTCTAAAATATATTTTAGATCTGAAAAAGAAAATCAAAGCACAAATACCTTGTAAAATTTACTCGGAGCATGTGTTTTCAGTCTACATGAGTAATTTTGAAGTTATTACAAATGATAAGAAATCTTTTGTTTTCTTCAAGAAATGTATGCTGAGTTCTTACTGTTTTGAATTTCCCAAAGTACCTTTAGTTTGATAAATACATATATTTATATATATACATTTATATATATAAATATATATATATATACATATATATATATATATATATATATATAAACGTGAAATCAAAAGGTAGTCCCAAGCCTTTTTTATTTAACTTCATTCACAGAGGTGTAATTCAAATTTTCCAAGTAATGCTATTTCTCAGGTAAATAAGATAAATCTAAATTCATTTATAGACTAACTAAAGATTTGGGATCCATTTATCATTTTTAAAATACTAGCCAGCAGATAAGATTAGTTTCTGTCACTCACAGCACTGTCAAGATGACTCAATATGATTGTAAAGTCGATTTTATAGCCATATTTTAATGAAAAATAAATGTCCCCACAGAGGCTTGAAGAATCCCAAAGAATTTGACTGATACAGAGGATAAATGATAAGCACAATTCTAACACAAGATTCATTTTATAATCTTATACCACCTTTTTCAAAGATCTAGAAGAAACACTAAAATCAATAAGGCCTAGAAAATACAGAATAAAAATAAAGCCTAAAGGAACTGGGATAATTGTGTTTGAAGAAAAGACAGCATAAGGATAACCAAATAATAGTTATTAAATACATATATGAAAGCTTAATGTATGAAGGATGGCAGAAGCTGTTCAATACAGTAACTCGGGCAGAAATGGAATTAACTACTCAGATAAAATTAAAAAGGAATTTGCTCACAATATAACCACAATATATTGAAAATATAAAAATACTTTGCTGAAAGTCAATACTAGAGAATAACAACTGGAAACACTCTAGGTGGAATCCACAGAATTAATTATGCTTACTTGGTTACTGGAGGTTAATCTGTCTGGGGAAGGGGATTGAGATTAAATAGAAACATAAAATTTTGCTCTAGGGAAAACATATAAATGACAGAGATCATATCAAGATACTCAATTTACATACAAAGTGAATTTTGTAAGAGTTATAAAAAAAAATCTCTCTGATCTCCTTTTTAAATCAGCACCAAAGAGTATTAAATCTTTTACCATACCATTCAGAAAAGAAATTATAAAGCCAACCAAGAGTTCAAGGACAAATCTAAAAAGTTCACATTTCCCAATAGATTCCAGCTGTTACATTGTGGTTTAAGTGAATACAACAAAAATATTTCAAGAGCTGTGGTCATCTTATGATTGCAATTAACATATTTCTAGGCTAAACATTTTTAATATCATTAATACTTATAACATTTAAGCTTAACTCTGACTCCATCAATGAATTCTGAATGCACTGAAGAAAAATAAAGCAAGTATTCATAATCAAATATAGAATTTAATGTCATTCGTGAAACCAGCTTCAAACATCATTTCAGATCAATTTGTGTACACGTTTAAATGGACATCCTCCAAATGACATTATTTCAAAGTAAGTTTTAAAATGCATTTATATTGTATACTAGAAATAAGATTAGTACTGGTTATTTTGGACACTACCATGGTGGAGCAAACGTAAGTAATATCACACTATATGGATCTGAGCACTAGTCTCTCTTACAAAGCTGATACTTTGGGAAAATTTCTCTTCCAAAAATTTACTTTAAACATTTCTCAGAATTTTTACTCTATCATTTTGCTTATTCACTCACCAATTAGAGGGCTCACATACACTACCACTGATTTTCTTTAAAATGCAAATACTATGGTGAATTACTAACATCTAAAGAGAAGAACTTACAAGACTACTGTTTAATGGGGCTCTTTGCATCATTATACCTAAAAGTTCGTGTACAAAAGTTTTCAAAGATAACAGGGAGATGCTACCCAGTAGTGCCACCAAATGGGCACGCAACAGAGAAGAACATCAAAGATAAGAAATTAAGATGAGTGCCATTTGTTCATAAGTTAAATGACAGTAATTTCCAATCAGTGAAACATAAATAATGACTATGATTAATTTAATTAAATTTAAGTATATTTGAGTACAAATATGAAAAATTGACCAATTATTCTGCTTTAAAAATTATTTCATAGAGACACAAATATTCAGAAAATGGGCCACGCTTTTGATTATTGTTGCCTATTTTAATGTGAAGCCTTTCATGTCCCTAGAATTAAAAAAAAAAAACTGTTAATAATGTCAGAAAAGGTGAATTAGCCAGCATAAAGTGCTTTGATTCATTATGAAACAATAATGCATGCATCAAAAGATCTCAAGTATTGAAACATATTTTTTAGAGAAACAAAGAATATGTCTAGATAAGAGTCTCTACTTTGTAATGGGAAGCTATTAATTTTGCAAGAGACACTCGTAAAGACTATTACGTACTGTTCGATAACAGTACATAAAAACTTGCTGGCAGGAATCTTTCAGAATAAGAAAACCAAAGTTTTTGAATAAAGAATGGAAATTTACCAGTGAAATGTATATATGTTAAGAGCTATGTATTAGTCAATAAGAGTACAAATTTGAAACTTATGTTTGTAACTTTGAAAATGTGTGCAATGGCAACTTAGCAGTTTATCAACTGGTTGCACTAATGAAGCCAAGATTAGAAAACTTATTAATGTTCTTTAATAGTTTTCTGAGGTAATAAGAACTATGATTTACTTAGAATTTACACTGGTTTTTAATATGGCTTCCTTTCCTAGACATCTGGTACTTCATGTTTCTAAAAATTTCCACTAAGAGTTTCATTGAAAAGTAAAACAAAACAATATTCTAAGGCTAGAGTTTAGAGGAAAAAATAAGTCCAATAGCAATATTTACCCAGTATGTGGATTACCACAGATTACATAATGACAAAAAGGAGCCATCAGGAGTAAAATTGCAGCTCCCTTAAGCAACTGCATTAGGGAAGAAGATGCTACATAAATGACAAGTAATGCCAATAGTAATAACAAAAACATGCCTTACATGTACCTAATGCCTTCCTTCTAAAATGTCCAGAACTACCAACAGGAAATGTCTAACTGCTCCTCTTAGGTTTTAGAGGTTGCTAGTTGTGTGTGTGTGTGTGTGTATGTGTGTGTATGTGTGTGTTCAAGGAATCGCAAAGATAGGATTTTGAAAGATTACCTACACTGAACTCATTATCTTTATAGTGTATCTGACACAAAGGCATACCATCCTTTAGATATTCTACAAATTTCCTTAGAAAAATAATAACAGAAAATTTCAAGTCCAGGGATTTACAAACTTCAAAGTATAACAATCTTCTTCTTAGACCAACTAAAAATTCCAGTTAAATCTGTGATTGATCTGGGGATAGTTTTCATACTTATAAAATTATAATTTCCTTTCCTATTATTAAAAATTGTTATATCATTAAAAAAGATTAAAATATTAAACTACAAATGGAGAGAGGAGGAAGAAGGAAAAAGGAAGGGCACATAAAAAGAATTAAGATGTATTACCTATGTACATGCAGCACACTCCCATGACAAATGTAATGATTATGCACTGCAAAAATGTACTAATAAATATTTTAAAATTTATAAAAATCCTAAAAAGATTAAATCACCCAACATATACTGATATTATAGTTAGCTTTACAGAGAACTTACACCTTAGACAAATGACTTCTCTTATTCTTGGTTAACAGGAATCAAATATCCTATTTTTACTTAACTCAACAAAAAATAGAATATATCTGAGATTTGAAAGCCTATGAAGTCAACCTTATCAAAAAAGTTGACCCCTGAGTTCATAATCTGAGGTCACTTCAAAGTTCAGGTATTGGCAATTATACAAATGGAATAATGCAGCCAAGAGATAAGGACAAGTAAAAGTGAGATACGGAAAAGATGGTTATTTGTATCAGATGCCATCTTAATGGTAATTTTAAAAAAGGAAAAAGGTCTCTTACCAAATGAAAACATCACAGTGGTAAAATAGGTCACAATGCAGATGACATGATCCCCATTTCTATGCAGAGCAGGATACCCTGCCTCTGTCTTCTGCCCCACTCTTTTAAATCATCAGATGCTGTGTGTGTGTGTGTGTGTGTGTGTGTGTGTGTGTGTGTGCATGCACGCGCACATCTCTGTGTAAAAATATAAAATTGTTCTATCAAGGTAATGGAGTAGAGCAGTCTTAAATATATCATAGATACAAGGTACATGGGTAAGCAACAAGAAAAGACAAAGAGATTTTCAGGATAGAGTATGTTAGGTTATCATCAGCTTACATTAACTATATACTGATAGAGAACACTAAAAGGAGAAAATAAATGTGCAGAAATTTCATGGAGACAAGTACGATCCATTCTTCACATTTACATTATATATTCCTAAAGAGACTTTAAGTTCCTTCAGAGAATGGACATAACTTTTCAAATTATAAATTTAATCACAGAGAAAGACAAGAAGAATCTAAAGGCAAAAGATTTTAAGCACAAAGAAGGAGGTGCTTATTGAAATACAAATGAGGAGAAATCTCAAAGGAAAATAAAAATAAGGAAGACAACATTACACCAGGTGAATAATATAGTGGAAATGGGTTTTTCTTCCCATGAAAGATGATCCATTTTAAAAAGGAGGCAATGAGGAATTTCAAGAATTCATAGACTGTAAATGAATAAATACTCCTACTTTCCAATTCATACCAGAGTGGAAAAGGAATCATTCTGAATTCAAAGGCTGTGACATTTGAATTTTTGATCTGTTGCTTACTAATTACATTATCTTGGACAAATTAACTAACCTCTGTACCCAACTGCTCACTCTGTTAAAAAGAAAATATTGGGCTGGGGATTTAGCTCAGCGGCATAAGCACCTGCCTTGCAAGCAGGCGGTCCTGAGTTCCATCCCTGGTACCGGAAAAAAGGAAAAAAAAAACAAAAAAAAAAAAAGAAAGAAAAAGAAAATATTATTAAGAATTCACTTGTGTCAATCACAATAAAGCATATGAAAAAAGCAGAGAAAGTTTTGTTGCTGCTACTAAAAAAAACTGCTTATAAAAGAAAACAAAATGAGCCAAAAAGTGGTTGTTATCATTGATGTATGAAACTTTTTGTATCTTCAATAAAGTTCAGTTAAATCATCTTTCATGATTTTACCTGAACATTGATATATTTAAAATACAGAATACATTTCCATACATGCTTGGGTAAAAATAATATTAAAATTCACATACTGAGTTACTTTCAAGGGAATGTGAAAGGGAAAAATCTAATATGGCATTTTAACAGATCTAAATGCTAGGCCCACAGACACTGACCACAGAAGTTGAGTCATGAAAGAATGGAGAATCTGACAAAGACAGACACTTATTTGCTAGCAAGAAAATAAATAAAACACAGACTAAGTGGATTTCTCTTATTTCTATAAACAAGGTAGAGTTATAAAATATAGGACAACAGGGAAAGGATAGTTACATAAACAGTGTAAAACAGAATATGATTCCTTGACCTTTAGATATGGACCAGTGTATCTCATTTGAACCAACAAGACAAAGATGGGTAGTTGTCACCAAATACCTATTGTATCCATCTTCCAGGCACATATGAAATAGACTACATTTCTGAAGCCTCCCTTCATCTCAGCATGGTCATGTAATTTGTGTTCTTTTACATGTCATTCATGAGAGTCATAATACCACCATCTGACCACCAGATTTTAAATAAAATTTTATCTGATTTATACTCTTGTGACATTGATCCCTTACTATTTGAAGTCAAATCTACTCCTACAGCCAGGATAAAGACATCTTACATAAGGTCTGTTAACTTGATAAGGAGAACTATAAAATGGATTGACAGAAAGAAAGAGACCCAGAAAAAAGAAGGCAGCACTGGAGATAAGTATAATTGGAAAAGCAGTAAAATGAACATTGTTCCAAGTAATATTTCCTAAAGAAATAAGACTAGCAATCTTATTTGTCTAATACCAATGACCAGAGCACAGACAATGCAAACTTCAAAATAGATAACAAATCAATACAACTCTGGAGTTGTAAACAAAGAGAAAGAAATAAGGGTAAGAAACTATCAAATGAGAAACAAAACAAACAATAAAAAGAATACAAAGAAGAATTATAATTTTTCAAACATTTACTCTGAATAAAGGATCACAGCAGGCATTTCTATTCGGTTGCCCTATTTAATCCTCACAATAATGCTAAAAACTACAAATATTATAGGTAGAATAGTGTGGCTGGAAATTGTTTAGAAAATGAAAAACAGTAATAAGAAGAAAAGGAATATGAATTCAGGTCTTGTGACAAAATAACATACACTTTCTGTTATATAATATGTGTGTCTTTGAAGTTCTATTTCTGAGTAAAACTTTGTAAAATTAGAATAGAAGCAAAGTCAAAAAAAAGAGCATACAAGGCAAAATAAATAAATCTCTTAACACTGTACTAAAAAAGAAACAATATGAAAGTAACAAATATCTTGGAAGAAATGAAAGTTTATCAGGGTTTGTGACCACTACAAAAGGTACACTGGAAATACTAGCATTAGGCAGTAAAAAATGACCTACTGTCTCGAAAATACATAAATATGTTTCCAAGGTTGTACTCTATAAGAGAAAATAAAAATTTTTAGGGAGTAAAGAATTTTTAATTACATAAAATAATTGATGTTATATTTTTTAAACACATGAAGTTGATTTCCATAAAACAATAGCAGAGTCTGATTCCCCTTGCAGCATTTGGTCTGACTGAAAATTTTACAATTCTATAAGAGAATACTAATGTAAAATTTGGTGACTCCTTCCTTTCTACATTTCCATTATTAGTGTTTACCTTGAGTGAAGTCAGGATACAGATGTATGTAGTCTATAGATCACACTATAAACATTTGTATGTAAGGAATTTTTTATTATGTTAGCCATATAAACAGGTAACTATATGGCTGAAAAACAGAATTATTGCATCTGATTTTAGAAAGACTTGTATACAAGGTCCAGTTATTTCTTACATAGTGCAACTTCAAACAAATCACCTACTAGAAATTTCATCAATAAAATCAAAATAATGGCACTTACCTCCCACAATGAGCTACTACAAAAGCAGCATGTCAAAACTCAGTACCATGAAGACTTCAGACTATAAGTTTTACAATGGATATTCGATATCTAACATGAGTATGACACACAAAAAAATACTGCTTTCCAAAACAAAGCAGTTGTTTCATATGATACTATACAGTATCACTCTCATATAAAATACTGATATTATGTAGTATGTGAACCATCTCATTTCCACATAATAATCCTCAAGTCCTTTAGAATTCTGCCTCATACATACAAAAAATCCAGATCTGTTGATAAATCTACATGAATGCCACAGAGAAAAGTAACACCATTTGAAATAACACCAGCTCTCTATGTGTAAAATCTGTCTCATTTACCTCACACTTTTTAGTCCATATCCCCAAAGACAGTACATTATTAACCAAAAAGTTCTTCAGCTAGACATGAATGATTCAGTGAAATCAAAGGTAAATATGGCATATATGTTTGCTGAAATAAAGTTTGAGAAGTCATCTTCAAAGTCTATTTATTTTATTCCTTTGTTTGATTCCATCTCATTGACTCTAAACATTTTTACAATAGTGTTTCTGTGTATATATATGACAGTATATATACATGTTAATATTATTCAGTACTACGAGGTTAAACAGCAGAGAAAACATTTTTCAGCCTTTGATTAAGGCCTGCATTTAAACCAGCAGACCCTATCACAAGCCTTGCTGATGAGTAGCTATTTGGACACACACAGAGCTGTGATTTTCATCCACTTTACTAATCAGCAATTTCAGACTTGCTGCTAATATGACATTGATGAACAAGAATGATTCTAATGTGACAGTGATGAACAAGAATGACAGCTCAGGGTTGATTAAAATTAGCTAAGGTTCTCAACTCAGGACAGAATGGAGGGACTTTGAAAACAATTACAGCCAACCAGGAATTTCTGAAGCAGAAAGGAAACACCAAAAACATATGTTTGCTGATTAGACATGAATTTAAGCAAATATACATTTCAATGTGACACTTTAAAATGTCTGCAGTCATTAATCAAATCTGCACTTAATAAAAAATGGCAATAAAACACGAATACACAGAACCACCAAAGTGCTGAGTGAAACAAAATGTCAAAATGTAGAAGCTACTGTTTGATTATGAAAAGAGAAGGCATACTAGAAATAAACCAAATACTTAGCACAGCTGAGAGAAGATTCACTGATCTAAACTCAGTAATTCAGGAAAGGTATTCTCCATTCTCATGTGGACTTTAATCACTCGGTCATTTGCTAAGACTTGAAGCTAGGTATTTTATCAACATTCTTCAGGACAGTAACCTCTCCTTCTTTACCTTCCCTTTTTTCACCCTCTGTGCCCATGCTATACAGGCCAGATCAAATTAACACATAGAGAGGAACAGAAAAATCACTAAACTAGGTCTGTAAGAGCTAAAAACTCTGTACCTATAAAACTAGTAACATGTTTCTATTTTCTAAACGAATACACTAAGCCATCCACCAGAGTTTTATGGTGCAAAAACAAAAACAACAACAACAAAAGTAATATAGAAAGCCCATATAGCAATGAAACAAAAATAAAACAGAAAGTCTATGCAGGGATCTCATATTCAGCAGTGACATTATCACAGCTTTTCAAAGATTACATGGAAAAATCATAGCAAGAAATAAATAATCCACACAGTACAAGATACTCCCAGAGCTAGCACAGAATAGAATATCAGGCCAATGTTCTTTTTATTAAAAAACAGAATTCCATTCACATTTTCTGCCTCTGTTAACCTCCAAATAAAGTGACCAGTTTCTCACTGTTGACAGTACTGAATTTAATTCTTAGATTTACTCAAAACACTGTGCATCAATGACTCACTCAAAAAGAAATGGCATCTACAAGCTACAATGTCCTACGACAGTCCATCATTCTTTTTTTTTTTTTTTTTTTTTTTTTGTCTTTTTCCTTTTTATCGGTACCGGGGATCGAACTCATGACTGCCTGCTTACAAGGCAGGCGCTTATGCCACTGGGCTAAATCCCCAGCCCCGACAGTCCATCATTCTAGCATGCAAGGTCAAGAAAAATTCTGACCCAAACATTTACATAGATAAAGTTCTGCATGAACAAATGAGAAAAGTATAAAATATGTTTTTTAAAAGTCTCAGAATTTTAGCAAATTTTAATTCAGTTTGATATGTTCATACTGATGCCGAATGAAATATTCACCAGGCAAACAACAAATGGAAATAGATAACCAGTCTTCTAAGAATCCAAAAATCTAACAGAAAAGTCAGACATATCTTACAAGCATTTCTGAAAAGAAGTAACAAAGAAGATAAAGGAGATACACTGCTCAAAGCTGCTGTAATCAGATACTAAAAGTCAATCAACACAGGCGAATCTTCAATTACTATATTCCCTGTGGCAATCATTGACAGGGTTGTTTCTGGGTCATGCTCAATCCATGTAATTTGCACCCTGAAAACTCAGAAACTGATGACAGTTAGTAGAATCTCTGGCTTTAAAATCTATCATGAGTAACCTTTTTCCTTTTTTAGTAAACAGTCATTTCTCATGTATAATGTAATTGTCTGAATTATCTATTAGTGGAATTCCTTCATGAAAGTAAATTTTGAGAAATTATCTTATTGCTATTAAATGATTATGGATCCACACGAAAAATGTATATTGGGGTAAATATTTTTCCTTCCTCCCTTCCTTCTTTCCTTTTTTTCCCTCCTTCCCTTCTTCCCTATTACCCTCTTTCCCCTCTCCTTCTGCTAAGTTTCAAAATCAAACATGGTTTCCAATCAGGAGAACAGATGTGGTCAATTTCTGAATGGGCCACTCCAACACCCATTTACTTCTAGAAGAAAAGTGTATCACTAACAGGCTTTTTCCCCGACAATATTTTCATTTTGTAGCTTTCAACTCTATTTTTTTGGCTAAGTTATTAACATATGATCACATATAAAAAGCAATGAGCATGCAGGAAAATAAATCACCTACAAAAGATGAACTCTTAAGATAAATGTTCCTCTCTGTCTACAATGAGAGATAACACTGATCATTGCTTCCTAAGATACTTTTTCACTGAAATAAATTATATCCAATTGTGTGTTTCTAAAAATATCTTTCCTTTTACTTCTCTAAACTACTGAATTATGATGTAAAGAAAGAGTCAAGTTCAGGCTAAGGGAGAAAGGAAAGTTCATAATATTCTGGGGGAAAAAAAGATTTCCCAAAACTACAAATATCACATACTGGGTATTTGTTGGCCTACCAGGCCGCTATTCCCCAAAACTAATTTCTAAAAGCAATTTCAAAGCAAGGTGTTTTTTTTTTTTTTTTTCAATAAAAAAAAATCATATATTTGAAATTCAGGTGTACTGCAGAGAAGCAGAACAAATGAATTCTCACCAACAACTCCAATAAGGATTAATGTCCCTAAGGACCACTGTATTTTTTAAAGTAAGGATTTTTTTTCATGTATTTTTCTTATTAACTTTTTGCCTTAACTGGTAGATCTTCTCCCAATACTTAAATAAGATTAAAAGAAATGGAAGTGCCACAGACCTTGACCAAGGCCAAATCTTTCTTGATTTTATTAAATATTTCTTTTGTTTCCTTTCCAATTTTAATTTGTTTCTTATATAGTTTGTCAGAATTTTACAATAAATTAAAAATTCAGTAAATGAATCGTAATTAAAGCCGAGAAAAGCATCTTACAATCTGAAATGTTAAACATCAAACTATTTATTGTATCAAAACTATGAAAGAAACATAGATACCTTCAACAGGGGTGGCTAGACCTTATAAAATACCTATAGCATTATTGAAAAGTCCACTTTGGAAAGACTCTATAGATATAATTACAGCCTTTAAATAACATATAGATATCATCTCAGATAAATATAAATCAATAATATTTTTATGGACATAAGTCACAATGGACACTACTATGCTGTTACTTTCCTCACTAGAAACTTTCCTCACTAGAAATTGCTTCCATTTTGTACAGTTTTGCTTTGTTACAGAAAATCTGTACACTAAGAAGTAATGTGTATATGTATAAAAGAGGTGTTTATCACTGCATCCGCATGTTCAATGAGTCCAGTCTCACTAAGTTCTTCCTGAGTCACGTCATGATGTCAGAAACGTCAAATACCACTAGTAATAAAGATATACATAACAACAAATTGGCAAACATCAACATGGAAAACAAAATAATGAAAAATGAGAAAACAGAAAATGACAACACAGAGAAGCAAAACGCAACCCCAGAACCCCAGCATACCCAGGACAAGCATGAAACTCCATGAGGCAGAAGAAATTGGAAATTACACCCTGGAACTTTCTGAAAAGATAACAATAGAAATGAAAAAAACAAATGGAAAAAGCTACAGAGAATATATCAGGTACAAAAATGAATGATGCTTAAACATTATTAGAGAAAATACAAATAAAATAATAGATGAGCTTAGAAAAATGATAGAAACAAAAAAGTGTCCAACATAGGAAAGAAATGGAATCCAGGAAATAAATCCAAACAGAAATCCAAGAGATTGAGTGAAGGAGATAGAATTTTGGATCTTGAAGACAGAATTGCAGTTTGTGATCATGAAAAGATATCTTAAAAATAGAGACCATGAGAAATCAATCCAACAGCTACAAGTCAGAGCGAAAAAGAATGATATAAGATTAATTGGGATCAATGAGAAAGCTGGAGATAGCATAAATGTCATAAAAAAAACTCTTCACAGAAATAATGGCAGAAAACTTCTCAAGCATGGATAAAGAATTTGAGATATAAATAAATGAAACATGTGAAATTCCAAACAGCCATAACCAAAATAAAACTACACTAAGACATATAATAATCAAGATTACAGAAATACAGTACAAGAACAGAATACCAAAAGCTGTTAAGGGAAAGAAACAGATCACCTATAAAGGAAAGCCCATCAGAATCACGGCAGACATCTCCATACAAATCATCAAGTCAAGAGGAGCTTGTAGTGAAGCATTTCAAGTGCTAAAAGAAAGCAGCTTCCAAGCGAGACTGATATACCCTGCAAAACTCTTTCAAAACTAATGGAGAAATAAGATACTTTCACAACAAAGAACAACTAAAGAAACTTATGACCACCAAACCAAGCCTAGAAAGAGTACTTGAAGATATTTTGTTTTTGTTTTTGTTTTTGTCTTTTTCGTTTTTATCGGTACCAGGGATCGAACTCACGACTGCCTGCTTACAAGGCAGGTCCTTATGCCGCTGAGCTAAATCCCCAGCCCCTTGAAGATATTTTGAATGGAAAAAAAAAAAAAAATGACCACAATTCCAGGAATAATAACAGAAAGAAACACCAGGCAAGATAAACAATTAAACAGAGGGAAAAATCAGGGAACCAACAGGAAAATATCATGACAAGACAAGCTAATATATATCGGTTATAGCCAAAAATGTAAATGGACTCAATTCACCAATCAAAAGAAATAGACTGGCAGAATGTTGGTTCAAAAACAAGATCCAGGGCTGGGGCTTTAGCTCAGTGGTATAAGCACCTGCCTGGAAGTGCAAGGTTATCAGTTCGAACCCTGGTACAAAAAAAAAAAAAAAGAAAGAAAGAAAGAAAAGAAAAGAGAGAGAGAAGGATGGAAGGAAATAAGGAAGGAAGGAAGGAAGGAAGGAAGGAAGGAAGGAAGGAAGGACCAACAACATGCTGTATACAAGAAACACATTTAACTCAAAAAGAAATTCAGACTGAAAATCAAAGGATGGAAAACAATCTATAGGAAAAACGGGTAGCTATTCTGTTTGCAGACAATGTGAACTTCAAACCAAGAATGATTAAAAGAGATAAAGAAGATCACTACATACTTATGAAAAGAAAAACTCAAGTGGATGAGATAGCAATCATAAATATGTATACACCTAATACAGGAACACCCAACTACGTAAGATGATTATTAATAGAAACGCAACGTATCTTGGAGATACCATAACTAAAATAAAAAGGTTAATGATAAGCACTTCTACCACATTCAAGAACATGCAGTTCATAGGCCAAAACATGTTATACCACTTTTTCCTTCCTCACAGATACCATGGCATGCAAAGTAAGTAACTTCATCTCCCTTTACCTTGGACAAAGTTATCTAGGTGCAAAATGCTAGCCTTTCCCAATCACAATATTACCTTCCATTCTCAAAAATCCCAGCTCTTTCTGTTTATACCCAAGAAGAGAGACTTAAAAGATTATATGGTAGATTAACAAAAAGTAGACAAATTTACTTGTACTTTCACTTCAGAAAATCAGCCATTGAAGATGGATAAATGGTATCTATTTTCTTAATAATATTCTTCTTTTCTGATAAAAAACATGGTAAGCTATTCAAACAATTTGTCTTTCTCTCCACAGCGTAGCAGTGACTGAAAGCTTGAGCACTGGAATCAGATGATAGCTGTAGCCCCAGCTGTAGATTTGCAAGCTCTGTTACCTTGGATATAATACTTCACTGCTCTGAACTTCATCTATTTCTGATACATCCAGAGTAAATGAAATAACGCACATATGAGGATAGCACATTATTGTTCCCAATACAGGTCCATACAGAGGTTGACATTTTCTTATGTACAATTACAAAGAAAGCTCCAGGTTGCTATTCCTGATCATCTTTGCCTCTTTTATTTGCAAAAACTAAATAACTTTGCAGATAGAAAAGTGACCTAGATGTGATTCTAAATCTCTAGATAAAAATGGTATTTTTAACATGATTCCTCTAGTTGTATTTCTTTGTTTTGAATACTTATACCACATAAGCAGACCCTGATTACACATACACACACACACACACACACACACACACACAAAGTTAACACAGACATCTAAATTTATATAACTCAAAAATACATAAATAGTAAGGAGAGATGACAGAGCTCCAGAGATATAGGTTTGGATTCCCATGCCACAATTTAATATTGGATTTTGGACATGCTGATGCTGACTGGTCCATCTACAAAATGAGATGGTACTATTCAAGTCTCATAGATTTACTGCTACAATCAAAGGAATAGGAATAAAGCATGTGACATAAAAAAAAAGTCAAATATAAGCTCCCTCCCCTGAAGGATTTAAACTGCAACTCTCTCCAATAACTGCAACTCTCTCCTTCTTACTCTAAAGGAGCAGGGATGTCTGAATAACAGGGATTTATTGTGAAAATCTGCTTATAAAACCCTTCCAGTTGCATAAACAAATGATACGTACTAATTACACTAGGGGTTTATTTTTTGAAATAAAAGCCACAGCACATACCATAAACATAATAAAAAGCCAAAGGAGACGAGATAAAAAGGGAACAGCTGGTGTAAACTGTGCACATCATTCAAAGAGGCAATGGGGCCAATACAGTTTTTCAGTAAAAGCAAGAGAACACTAGGTGGTAACAAAATGGATACTTTAGATCTGGAGAGGCAAAACATACTCAGAGCTCTTGTGGATGCCAGGGGAGACTTGGATAACATTTCCTGTCTTAATGAGCTATATTCCATTCCCAGCTGTTCAGAAAAATGACAGAGTTCACTGCAGCAAAGAATCTATACAAAAACTCCTTGATCCCAAGAACCAGAGGTGCAGAGCAAATGCTAAATCATACATCTGTTGACGTTTGGGTACATAAATGAACAAGGATTTAAGAAAAAAAATCTTTCACATGAAGGCTCTTTTGCCTGCAATAATTGTCAGGTCTACATACATTTTTTTTCATCTTTTTCTTTTATTCAGATAAATATGCTGGTTCTCAACACTGTATTTTATCTTTTTACTTAACTGACATTATTTTTCAGATCATGTTTAGGATTACAGAAAATTAAGCTAATAGTACAAGAAGTACACACAAACTTTCACACTCACTCTTGTACATTTTTAGATGCCCTAGCTGACTTGAAATATTAAAAAGTTATCTAGCTACACTTCAATGAATCAATGAATTTTTAGCTAAGCAATTCAGAATTGCTTCTTAGACCAGGGAAAGATTGGTTTATTTCCTATTATGACTAGGAATTTATTTCCTATTATGAATCCAATATCACAAATAAATCCCTAGTCAGACATTAACTTTGATAAAGAAGGAATGTCAAGTTTTATGAATGAGATTAACTTATTTGAGTAAACTAGAAAAAACTGGGAATCTGATTATTTTAATTATGCTTTGGTCTGTATAAATTCAAAAATAAGAATCTCTTAAAAGTTTGGCTACCAACATTATATTGGAGCTTTCCGTGACAAAAAGAGTCAAATGTTGGGGAAAAAGAAAATAATGTAGTGATTATGTCTCTTTTCACTAAAGATACTGAAGCATATTGTATGCATCTGCTAATATATAGACAAATTACCCCTTTAAGAACAAAAGTCAAATAATCGCTCACACTCTAGGAAACTGACTCAAGGAAAATACTGACCAGATAAATAGAAATCTCTTTTAAAGAAGGTCTCTTAATATGGAATTCATAGATAGAATCTGAACATATGACCTTAATAGGGAAAAATATCTTCATTTTACTAGTCTGTACTGAAAGTTAGCATTTTCATCAATTATTAATATATAATAGTATTAACATGCCTATAACTGTTATCTGTAAAAATCACAAATAATTTCGTATTGCACATTACAGCTGTTCTAAGTATTCTGAAAATCATACTTACGATAGCTACTTTAAATTAATTAATGTATTAAGCTTGCCACTAGATCTAGCTATTTAACATAATTATATCTCAATATAGTTGCTTGCTTTTGCATTCCCGTGCACTAATACATTTAACAATATTCTGAGAAGACAGAAAGGTTTCAAAAAAGGTTAATAATATATTTTTCAAGATATATATATATATATATATATATATAGAGAGAGAGAGAGAGAGAGAGAGAGAGAGAGAGAGAGAATAAAAAGAAAATAATGATGTGACCCTAAAAAATTCTAGCAGAGCCAGGAAGGATGGTTCACACTTGTAATCCCAGTACTTAAGAGTCTGAGGCAGGCTGATCATCATGAGTTTGAGAACAGCCTGGGCTATACAGTGAACACTGGCCAGCCTGAACTACACATCAAGACCTTGTCTCAAAATACAAAACCAAACAAACAAACAAAAACTATCATAAATTCCACTATGAGAAACAATTTTCTAAGAAACATATACATATTGTTCTGAAAGCTATAAAAATGTTTAAAAAAATCACACTGCCTCATTTTCACTTAGAAACCTGGACAATATGTGAAACCAAACAAAAAAAATTAAGATGGCCTATTAAGTCTCAATAGAAATAATTGCCAGCAACCAATTTGACCTTAGAAATACTGACCTACCAGAGAAAGGAAAAGAGATATTGAGCAACTACATTATCAAGAGTCACATTTTCCTCAACCCAAAATTCTACCAAAGGCACCACGAAAGGGACACCATGAGACAGTTCAAGAACCATAGCTCGCACAGTATGAAAGTAGGAACTAACAGTAACTCAAGTCAACTAGCAATAACTGACACTTCAAGTCAGTCAATTTCACACTTACAAGGTACCTTAAGTTAAAAGCACCATTAGATGGATTTCAAATGACCCGTCAATAGATTAACATCATAAAAGACTCAAAGTTATTATAACAATCATGATCCAGTATTTTTGTAATTATGAGTTATGTTTGGACAGTTCAATATTTTACATAAGAGATATTCTTGAAATAGTGGGTTACTCAGATACTTTCAAAGTGTTGAACTCATAGAAAGGATTTTTACAGTAAGATTTGAAAGACCGTTTATACTCTAATTTTCAGGTTAGATTATATGTCTCTCATAGATGTCTACAACCATATGGAAGAGCATGGCAGTAAACTACTACCTCTTGTTACATGGATCTCTTCACACTAGTTTATATGAGGTATTAAATACATATGTATACTTTATATAAACTTATTAAATTTAAAATACAGAGTCTGCTTTAGCACAACAAGCTAATTATCTGTTGTTTACTTTTTGAAGTTCTGAACAGTAAACTTTTCTTTCTGTCCTGATCTTATCTTTTAAAATATTGTACTAGTAGTAGTCTTAAGTAATCAGTATATATGACACTGTGGCATATTATATCCATTAGCTATAATTTTAAGAGAATATAAATAATTATTAATAGGACATGGTAGCTTTAGGTATATTTTTACTGTTATCAGGCAACAGAAACAAAGGGAAATGACTCAGTTAAATACCAATGGTCAACTTAACTTGTTTCCAAATTGGAAGGTTGTCAAAGCCTTTCCTACAAGCTAGTATCTGAAGAGTTAGAATCCAACCAATTGGTCATGGTGTTCACAAGGCCATATCCAAGAGCCTTGGGTAACTGGGTCCCCACTGCATTGCACTCAAGGATAAAATGAAACAAAACCTGTGCAAGCAAAGATTTTAAAACAAGGTATTATTGAGGTAGATTTTGTGCATTTAGAATACTCTACAACTACACGTACTCTTTCTCCCTTTGAACAAAGAATTTTCTGTTTTCCACACTTGTATCTGCTAAATGCCATCCCAATTTTTTAAGAATCTGCATACACAATTATAGTTCAGTTGAAAACAAGGCCAGTTGCAGTATAATTGTGCCCAATGAGCCCAAAATATTAAACTTTTATTTTCATGTATGGCTTTCATCACTACATCCTCTAATGCAGCATATATGATAATATATTATTTGTTATTCAGAAGAGAAAGAGTTCCATACAAAATAAATGACTTCAATTGCCTTATAAATTAAACATGGATAAACGTCTTGGTAAAATAAATTAAAGAAGCATTTGTATTTGATCACTCCATCATATTATATCTCTATGTACATGCAGAAGATGCTGTTATGTACTTCCTGAAATTTATTCTGTGTAAAGCCGACCATAGAGAAAAATTATTGTTAAGTTATGGCTGAAAATTAAACAAATAACACGTATTATACACCTCCAACAGACTCAAGGCCCATAAAAAGCACAACACTCAAAAAGGATAAGGGCCCAGATCTGTAGTTTAGGGGTTGGTTTGGATGTTTTGTTGGAATAATTTTTACCAAGTTGATGGTTTTAAAATTTAAAGTATATGGCATTGTTTATTAATATTAAAATTCATGTCATTTCTTAAAACTTACTAAATGACATAAAGGTACAAATACTAGTGTTGATACCTTTGCTAACTTTGATTTAATCAACAAGAGTCATGAAATAAACTTCTTATATTCAGTTTTAAAGAAAAGTAAATCTGCTCCATTATTACATTATTAAAGTCATGAATGTATGAGAAACAGCACATAAATAAATCACAAACTATTTCGCTAAGACAAAGTCTAATGGGTTCCTCTTTGGTGTGACTTATGTTCTCTGGTTATTTTTAAGTAAGTTTTCTTACATTTTGAAAGGTAAAATACACCAGTTTTTATGTATTTTATTTACAGTTGAGGTTGTCACATTTAAATTTATGCATCATTTTCATGACATAAGTATTTGCTCTTATTAATTGCTGTTATGTTTAAAGTATCTCTTTCTTAAACTTAGATAAAATATAATTTATCTATTATTAAATATTTAGTTAGCATGCCAACTTTTTATTGCTGCAGTGAATATATTTTTTAATTGCAATAATGGAATACAAAACATAACATTCACCATTTTAACAATTTTAAGTCTGTAGTGCAATGGCACTTCCAGTTTAGAAAAACGTGCAGCTTTCTATTATCATTAATTTTACAAAGAAAAAACATTCTTTGAGGCTGAACTAAATCTGGTTTCAATGCAAAAATAAAATATAAAAACTGTTCTTGGAGTTGTCTGTAAGTAGAACTGCCTTTAATTAAAAAGAAACAGAAATTTACATGATCCATAAAAAAAGTTAGAAACATAACTATGGGTATCTAGAGGTTAAGTAAAGGCTGTAGCCACAGACATCACCCCGGAATATTCTTAGGGCAAACAGGAAATGGGATTCACCAAGTGCATTCATATTCTTTGTGCAGTCATCACCATCATCCATTTTTACAGCTTTTTCCATCTTCCTAAACTGAAACTATATCCATTAAATAATAATTCTTTATTCTTCCCCCTTGGCAATTCTACTTTGTTTTGATTAATTTTGACCAGTCTAAAGACCTCACGTAAGTGAAATTACTCAATATTTGTCTTTTTCTAACTAGCTTTGTTCACTATGTCTCTAGAGTTTATTCATGTTATATCATGTATCACAATTTCTCATCTTCTTAAGACTAAATAACATTCCATTATATGAATATACCATATTTTGTTGTTCGGTTTATCACTGATGGACACTTGGCTTTCTTCTATCTTTTCCCTATTATAAGTAATGCTGTTATGAACATGAATATAATAATATCTGAGTTTCTGCCATCAAGTATTTTGTGTTACAATGAATGTGACATTCTATATGTCACACAGTTTCCTTGGAACAGAAACCTATAAAATTATGCTATGAGGATGGAAAAAACTGGATAGAGGGTAGAAATACCCTTAAATACTTGAATATAGTATAGGAGATTTTTTAGATCATTGCTGCACATACCTCACTTTTCACTAGGACCTCCGCAGCACCTCCCATCAGCAAAAAGGGTACATTTCTCCACCCTATGAATCTTTGGTTAAACTGTGAGACATGGAATGTGATACAAGCTCAACCTAAAAAACTGCTTGAACACAGGGAGCTTGATTTCCATGAACAAGCCCCAGCTAATCACTTGAGGGATGACAGTTAATGTAGAGAAAGGCCCCAGCTAAAAATTAGGCACCATCCTAAAACAGCCAACCCAGCTGAGCCAGTGCAAATCCTAAAATCTGCCCAGGCAACCCCAGATGAAGGAACAATGAGTACGTTTTTACTGTTCTAAGTTACTAACTTTAGAATGTTTCATTACATATAAAATTTAAATGCTGTGTACATATCAAATTAAAGAGTAATTCTAATGTGAGTTCAAAATTATTTTGATACAAGATTCACAAGTGATGAGAATGTTGCACTGAATAAAACACATCAATTTTTTCCGAATATTTATAATTTGTAGGTTTCTTTTTACTATCTCAGAAGAAAATTGATAACATGTATCACCATTTGCATTTCCATTTCTCCTTTGTTCTCTGCAAAGTATTTTCTCACCTGAGCTATTTTGGAGTTCCCATAGCTCCTGACCCTACTACACTTTCTATTAATCTTAACACTCCTCTCATGCAGTCACAACTGTTCTGAACTTTTTATTTTTTTGCTAATGACAATATATATTCTATTTGCAGCACAATGACCAAACATTAAGTAAGACCAATGTTACTGTGGGCTGGAGCTGGACCACAGTAGTACTGTGTGTACTGAGTAGGCACGAGGCCCCTGGTTCATTCCCAACAACAACGACCAGGGTAAAGAGGCAGGAAGAAGAGTTCTTCCTGTTATACCCTGAAGATGTATCTAATGCTGCTCAAAAGCATTTCTTCATCAAGATTTCTGGAATATCCATTCTAGAAATAAGTTCCTCAGAAATTACATGAAAGAAAAAAACCACTGTTATAGCAATATTGGTGAGCTGAATATCAGAACTACATTAATTAAACTGATGACACAATAACAACAAAATATTTTTAATAAGCTTTAATACATATAAACCACCAAGAACACACCAGGGTATAACAATTGTTACAATAAATGTTAGATATTACATTATATACATAAATGAATAATCATGAGAAAGGCTCTGAGCCAACTACAAAACCACACTCAATGGAAAAACCAATTTTCCCCTCTACTCAATTACTGTCCAGCAAATTGGAGAGCAATATACCTAGATCTCCTTGCTGACTCAGAGTACTCACAATTCTCTTCCCTTTGGAATGCTTTTCCTCACCTATGCCCCATCTCTCTTTACTTACCCACCTCAAGGGTCTTTCAGAGATGTTCCTCCGAGCAGATTTCTGAGTCTACAGACTAAGTTATAATCTGTACTCTTTAGTTTCAAAGGATTCTGCACTTACCACAACTTAATAAAATTGTCTATGACTGGACTGAGGTTTTACTGTAAATGGTCTTGAGAGATCATATAAATGGTCTAAAAATATATCTTAAGGCAAATATATATTAAGGCAAATATATATTAAGACAACCCTAAAAACTAAAAACTAAATTCATTAAAAATCACTAAATTGTACACTTAAAATACACAAATTTTAAGTTACACTTAGTATGCTTCAATAAAGGTATTTTTAAAAATATGGTATTTTACTAAGCAGAAAGAAAAAAAAAAAGAAAAGGTATAACAAAGATTCAGTCATAATGCAAAATTATTTATGATGAACCTATAAGGTCATTAATGAATATAACCAAAAGGCTTATATCTTTCTTTAAAATGACAGAAAATGACATCTTCAATATAAATAACAAAATTTGCTTAAAAAATTTTTAAAAAACAAATAGTTAAACAAGACATATTTATTTCTTCAATTTGAAGGTACAGTGTTCAGGGTTGGACTGCAGGTCATCAGAGATCAAAATTCCATTCTCCTTTAACCACATTAATGCTCAGCTTAGCTTAGCTTCCAATTTCAAGATGGCCTCAATCCAGGATGGCATCTAGATTTAAACTGCAGCCATCATATCAAAATTCTAGGTTAAAAATGAAGAAAAAAGATTAAAAGAGGGTACCTTTCAGTTGATATTTTCTCATAACTCTTATCAAGCTAAATGTGCTTAGACCTCATTGGTCATATTCAACTGCAAAAGACAAAGAGAAATGTATTTCTAGAAACATAATACTGTCAGAAATGGGAACAGGTACAATGGTAGAAAAAGAATAAATATATTATGAATATATAAATAAATAAATAAATAGATAGATAGATATTATGCTTACAAGATGCCCTTTAATACTTCTCAGGACCAAAAGTAATCAAAAGAAAGTCTGAAACAAATTTTACATTAATGTACAATTAAATATCTAGCAAAAGATAGTATTTTTGGCATAGTACTTTATTATATTAAAAAATGTGGTATGTCTTATAAGAATCTAAACTTATTTTCAATTCAAAAGTTAAAAAAAATCTGTCTTGGAATAATAATTTGGAAATTAGCCTTTAATATACCTTTTGTAAACATTCTCTAATCTCTAGTTTGTAACTCATACATAAAACTTAAATGAAGGACATTTGTACAAACACCCAATTATACAAATACCCAATTATAGAGCCTGGCAATTGTTAATTTGTTACTATAGCTACAAGTTTTATGTTACTTGAAGGGAATTTCTCTTTTCAAATGCTCTAGGCCCTGGGGAAAAGGTGTAAGGATGGTGATCTCTAAAACACATGCATAATTCTATTAGGTTTGATATTCTCCAAGGGAAATAAGATAATTCTTGAATGCTATAAAGTTAAAGAGAAGTCAAAGTAGTTGGTCAGATAAAACTGATCTATTCTGATAAGCACCGTACTCCAAAGGCGCATATTCCAATCGAGTTAGTAAAATTTGAACTGTGGTAAAATTTCATCATTTTACCAAAAGGTTAACAGTGTGGTTCTCAAAGCTTATTCTATAAACCAACAGTAACAACACAATGTAAGTACTTGCTAGATACACAAATTCACAGACCTACTAAATTAGGAATTCAGGTAACAAAGATTACATCACTGTTTCAATAATCGCTTTGGATATCTAATTCACCCTATGCTGAAGAACAGTATCTCCAGAAATATTCCATATTTAACTACTATCACTGACAGCATATAAGTTCTCAAGCACAAATAAGGTAAGAAATGTCATTAAATATTCAATTAGGTACCTTTGTGGACAGCGATGTAAAAACAAAAACCTTGCATACATTTATTTTCTTTTAATTATGACAAGTTTGTAGAACACAATTTTACATTCATTGTGTGGAGCTGAGATAGATAATATCTTAATTCCTCTTTTCATTGCTTTTCCCTCCACTCTCTCCTATTTTTTTTTTTTTTTCTTAAGAGGAGAGAAATACAATTCCTCTCATTGCTCCAATTTCCACCTTAGTTTACACCTAGCAAAAGATGGGGAAAGAAGGTCAACAAATCATGCCAGAAATCTTTCAACCATGATCAGTTCTGGTCATCAGCCAGACAAGAACACTTCACAAAGGCCTTGAAGAAACGAACATAGAAATGATCCTTAGGCCTCCTGTAAGAAATACATGTTGGGTCACACACTAAGCCATATATTACTAAGCAAGGCAGTCATGCCCTGTTTGCATGGTATATTCCTACTTTCTTTTGAAAGAAAATCTCCAAAGACTCAATTTCCAATTTCTGCCTCTGCTTTGGTATGATCTTAAGTAAGTTATTAAACATCTATGATTTCTTCCTGAAGAGTAGAGGTGATGCCCATTCAAAATGTATAGAAAGAGTACTATAGACCAATGATGGTGAACCTTGTTAGAGACAAGTCCCCAAAATGCAACCCAAAATCTACTTATTTATCACAAAATGCCAACACTACAAACCTGAATACTGAGAGTTTAGTTTTTAAAAAGCAACTTATACATTAACATCTTTCGTCTTAAAAAAAAAATACATGCATGCCACAGGTTCGTCATTACTGACAGCTGATAAAATAGACTAATTTTAAGAAGAAAAGCCAAATCAATTTGCTATAAATCTTTAGTTACTAAAGATTTAAGACTAAACAAAAGACTAAAGTCTTGAAATTTTATGTTAGGAAAAAAACTTCAGACTGTTGTATTAGACAGGTTTTCATAGTAATATCAAATTATATTTAAAAGTTCCTATGTTGAGAAATAGTTTATAAGAACTGTGAGATACTATGACAGATTACCCAAGGAAAACAAAAGTATCTATTCACTTTGTAATCTTTTAGAAACATTTATTCATTCATCTGAAAGAAATCACATCAGCAAATATAATACTATAGTAATAGCTTTAAAATTATTTTTTAAAGAAAAACATATTCCCCCCAAATTAAATCTTATCTAGCATCAGGCCAAGGGGAATTATTTATAACACATTTATATCTAGGAAACATAAACATCTAAAAATCATTTAAAAGACATTAAAAAGTCCCAACAAGTAGTTTCAGAGTCTTAATAATTTAGTGAAAAAAACCTACAAACATAAATGTAGAATATGTTAAACATCAACTAAGAATAGAAAAATGTCATGGACACCTAATAATGAGGCGCATACTCCAATCAAGTTAGTAAAATTTGAAATTTTTAAAATGTGTATGTATCAAATAATATCAAGGATGAAATGAAACAGAATTTTCATAGACTTCTGCAAGCTGTATAAACTGGTAAAATATTTTGGAAGGTAATATCCAACTGTAAAATATCTTGAGGAGTCTATCAAATTGTAAACAGGATTATTTGTTTACTCAAGAATTCCTCATTGTGATATCTAATTTAAGGAAATATTCATAATGTTCATTTTTAGAAAAGCTAAATTTGAAATATATGAAAAATATCTAAAATGAGGAACTTGAAACATCGTGGTTGAAGTTTTCAAGAGAAGCCTGAGAACTATAAATAGTGAATTTATCCCTTTTGCCTTTAAGGCCAATACTAAATGAATCTACTTATGCAATGTTTATGTCTCCTAAATGTTGTACAGAAAATATACATTTTAAAATGACTGGAATAGATTAATTCAAAAAAATGCTTCTCAATCTCTCCAGAGAATATAATGATGCTAAGAGATTTAGTACACTAACATCCACTGAAACTTCAAGATTATTACATTTAGATTATTAGACCACTGCCATAGTGTTACCCACAATTTAAATCTATCACACACCAATATAAAAAATGTATTTTCCTAATGTATTCAAAGATTCTAAAATATAACTTATTATCCAATTACCAAATACAATAAAACCATCAATATGACAACCACTGTGGACAGAGGATTTCTGAAAATACTTCTTTAGCATGTGTCCTATTTTAAAGAAAATATAATGGAATAAGGCCCTTTTAAAATATTTACACATTCCCCTGGACTCACAAAAAGACATTGTTCATTCATCCTGTATTGAATGAAGATGATGGGCTCTAACTACAACATGTAATTAGGAGACAGAAGTGTTTAATGGCAATTAAATTGAACAAAACTACAGAATCACAGCAATTAAAACTCCCACCAAGAAATGTGGGAAGTCATCTAAGCTACTAATCATTTACAATATTTTTTATATCATTTAAGGGACTCAAGTTACAGATCATTAAACAATTAGAAAGAACTTTAAATACACTAGATATATTAATCTGTAGTAATACCAAAGTTTTTGAAGGATTGGCGTCAGAATGGGCTCTCTCACTAACTTAGAAAGTCTTGAAATTAGCAGAATCCAATAGAGAGTTCATATAGAATACAGAGATTCTTGGTGTCACATTAGAAAATTTGTCATGGTTTTGGTTCAATTATCACCAGAAGAAAATACTTCCATTCAAGTTACAAACACATAGTTAACCAAAGGTTCTGTTTCACTTACAATTCTGGTAATAGTTACAGAAGTCACACAATTCTAACTCAAGAGTATGTCCTCAAAATAGACTGTTAAGTCTTAAAATAAACTCAAAAATTTAAATACATTGGACTCAGAAAGATATAGGTATCAAAACTGGCAGGGTTCACTGAAAGCAAATGCAAAAAATTGGTTGTGATTGCTAGGAATCATCAATATCTCATTTGTGTGAGTTTCTTAAAAAATCAGTAATGGATGATTTTCACACCAGAAACCTTAGGTATCCATGCATCTGTCCTTCCTCTAACTTATTCTAGTCTCATCAAGTCTCACAAACCATTCTTCTTGAACTGAAGAGTAGGCTTTCCTTCAGTTAGCTAGTCTTGAAACTTTCTTGGTAGTCATTCTTAATTTAAAAGCTCAACAACTACAGTGTTTACATCTACCACACAGATGATTCATACATTTCAACCCCTAACCTCAATTTCTCTCAATCCATTGTTCTAAATCCTAAGGCTTCAACATTTCATTTGACTAATGTATACTTACCTTCATGCTGACAAAGATCTACTTCACTTCAAACTTTAGATTGATCATGATTCTAAGAAATGGATTTCTTTGGTCCTAACTCATTTCTGCTAGAGGGCACTACCCTTAAAAACCAAGTATTTCAGTGGAAAGTGGAAGTAGAAAGAGTTTCAGAGGCTCAAAAGAAATGTCATTTTTTCCCCAACATTTTCAATAACAAAATATCTATATATTCAATAGTTAAATATCCATTTATATATGATGTATACATATAAACATTCAGGAGCTTATTATTATTAAATATTAATTATTCAATATTCAAAACTGATAGCATTTATTTCTAATTACCACTAGCACATGTTTTTAAATAGCCTTTCACATTCATCATCTACTATAATCAACAATGAGTACATAGCAAATCAAACAGAGCAGCAATGTTGCCAGGAAAGCAGTGAATGCCATCATTTCAGCATTGGAAATTCCACATGATAATGTGGTTATTATCAATCGTAAGCCTTCTAAAAGTCAATCAAGTCAATTAATTAATTAATTGAAGTATATCAAATTGCTATTTTTTAAGATTTCACATTAAAGAAGTAAAGCAAGTTTAGGATGGCCTTGTTTTCCTACTGAAA